AGTTAGGATTACTATTCAAAATATGATTTAATCGTAACGGAGATATTAATGGGGAAATTAATAACTCTTTACTTGATTTTTAATATTGTGAAACAAGTTATTCTGTCACTATATTCTCCGATAGGTTCTGTAAAACTGGAATCTATGAGTGTGCGTATATATTTAAACTGTGTATATATGCGTATAAAAACTTGCTTGCTTCAACACAACACTGAAAGCTGCGTATAGCTTAACTAGGACTAGGGATAACTACGTTACAGAAATTCTCTCGCTCCCTCTCTCTCTCTCTCTCTTTCTCCGCCCATCCAAGTCGGAATTTTGTCTCCTTTCAAAATGTTTCAGAATTCCCGGAGCAAATTCCTTTTTCTAGATATTCTTTTATAGAAATTATTGTTATTAGAGCACCAGGCTCATCTTAAGAGTTGAATTAGCTTGATTAAAACAAATATTCAAAATTTGAAATGAAAGTGAGAGAAACCAGCACTTTTAAGTACAGGGTGTCCCGAAAAACATGGGAATTCAGTGACGAATTCGATATCGTCTTTTCAAATAATTCTTTGATTTAGTATAGTGATACCTACTGAGAAAGCTGTAACCTGTAAGAGTTTCGTTTGCTATGTTTACATTTTGTTTGTTAATGTTTTGACTGCAACCGGTTGTACTTAGTAAAACAAGAAAATTACAGTATACAAACAGAGTAAACTTGTCCGTATTCACAGTTCATCTTGCGGAGACATTATAGACACATCTTTGCAGTCTTTTACCCTTTTCAATAAATAAACTCTAGCAGACATAATAATATCATGGCTTTTGAAATTAGGTATTACAGTGCTAATTCATAACAAAGACGATATCGAATTCGTCACTGAATTCCCATGTTTTTTGGGACACCCTGTATATTATATAAAATATCGAGTGGAAAAAGAGTACATTAACAATTTTCATTTATTAATCCGTCTTTTATCATATTCTGTTTGTTATTTTTTTTGGGGATACTTTTAAACTTCCTATAGGCCCTATTTCTTACTTTTTTAGTTGCACAGCGTTATTCCTATTTTTCTAGACACAGCGGTATCTTTAGCTTTTCTAACCGCAGTGTTATCAATAGCCTTTCAAGTCCAAACGGTATCTATAAGCCTGTCTAGCCACAGCTCAATTCCTGGCCTTTCTAGCCACAGTGTTATCCATATTCTTATAATAGCTTTCCTAGCCACATCGCTGTTTCTAGTTTTACTAGGCATATCGCAATTTCTAGCCTTTCTCCCCACAGAGCTATTCTAGCAGTTCAGCAATATGTATTATCTATTATAGCCTTTCTATCCACAAGAGTTCTAGCTTTTCTAGTCCCAGTGCTATTTTTAACTTTTCTAACCATAACGTTATCAATAGCCTTTCTAGTCCCAGTGGTATCTATAGCCTTTCCAGTCCCAGTGCTATCTATAATATAGCCTTTCTAGTCCCAGTGGTTTCTATAACATAGCCTTTCTAGTCCCAGCGGTATCTATAACATAGCCTTTCTAGTCCCAGTGGTATCTATAGCCTTTCTAGTTCCAGTGGTATCTAAAATATAGCCTTTCTAGTCCCAGTGGTATCTATAATATAGCCTTTCTATTCCCAGCGGTATCTATAATATAGCCTTTCTAGTCCCAGTGGTATCTATAATATAGCCTTTCTAGTCCCAGTATAGCTTTTCTAGTCCCAGTGGTTTCTAGAATATAGCCTTTCTAGTCCCAGTGGTTTCTATAATATAGCCTTTCTAGTCCCAGTGGTTTCTATAATATAGCCTTTCTAGTCCCAGTGGTTTCTAGAATATAGCCTTTCTAGTCCCAGTGGTTTCGAGAATATAGCCTTTCTAGTCCCAGTGGTTTCTATAATATAGCCTTTCTAGTCCCAGTGGTTTCTAGAATATAGCCTTTCTAGTCCCAGTGGTTTCTAGAATATAGCCTTTCTAGTCCCAGTGGTTTCTATAATAGAACTTGTATCTTTCTACAATAAGCCTCATATCTATAATATAATATTGTTAATCTGTGATGAACACAATCCAGAAATAAGTATATGTAATATTTTTTGTCAAGGGAATTTCATTTGCAAATAAGGGGGTGAGGTGGGTGTGTGTTAATTTTAATGTCTATTTTACCATAGTACCCAATTTTTTAAATAATGAGACTACTACGACTATTGCCTCTATGAGACGATGACTATGCTCTATGTTGTCCAAGAGTACTGAGGACAAGAATATTCAAAAATCACTTAAAATAATTATTACGTTGTAGCTGAATTCAGTTTAAAGTAAAACTTCAAAAAAATATAAGTATGCTTTCATGCAATAAAGGCCAAGAAAACTGAGGAATATGAAAACGCCTGTTTAAGACTCTATATAGTTGTGGTTTCCGATAAACATGAAACACAGTACAGTACACAGTGCAGTGTACACAGACGCATTTCACTTTTATTTACGCATCAAATTTAATGAATTTGAACTGCCTTATACCAGCGCGTCTCCCGACCCTAAAATAACTCCTCAACATGTCATGATTGCGAGAGTGTTCGTTAGAATAAGAGATTTAACTAAGCCTTGAAAATAAACCCAAGACGTGAAGGATTATATGAGTAAGAATATGAGAGATGATAATGAAATATCTAAAAAGTAAAATGGAAAATTATTTTTTTTCTGTTATAAAAAGCATTTCTAATGTGGGACCATTCTTTGCGTGGCAAGTACTCTGTGATCTACAGAATCCAGCATAATTTCATTTATTACATCACCCTGGCCTGAGGTTTGGCAGGTTTGCATGTTATGTCATTCAACGTAATGACCTCCTTCAACGACTGTAATTTAATTCGGTAGGAATACTGGGAGCAAGAAAGATGTTCATTTCTAGATTGCAATTTTAGTTACAATGTCAGGAAGGAGATTTGATCTCTCGCCCCTGGTACCGTGGCGAGTGACGCAACTCACTGAGCCACGGGGCTTACTACGTAGCAAGTGTCAAACACCTTATGTAATAATACTAAGAAGTGTGTAATCTGACAACAAGTGAAGAGAAATGAGAACCAATTTTCTTTGTAAACTCTAAACCAGAAAGTATGATACGGAATGTTTAAAATTGAATATACCGGTTTGTGAGTTCAGTCTTGCTGCGACATTTGACGAGTTTCTCAGCTAGAAATGATTGTTAATTATTTACGATTATTTTTGAAGAAATTTATATTTGGAACTTTTTCGAAGATTTTTGACAATGAAGACGACATTTTCGTATTTCCCAGGAATCTTCGAAAATCCATCGCCATGCCGTGAAAACAAGTTGTACGCTAAATATTATTTTTAAACAAAAATAAAAAATATCAACTATATACGAATGTGTCGAAAAATTATCGATGATTATAGGTTCTAAACTTGTAATATCTCAATTATTTGTTTGGAATTAAATTGATTTTTTTAAGATCCGAGTCAGATGTTGCAATCTTATGAATTTGTATGGACGCTAAGTTCATCGGTATGAGTCTTTTTTAACAATGTTCTCCTTATAGACGCAACAGATAGAAGTAAGATTAGTTGCGATCACCATCGATTAGTTTTCGACGTAAGCCTATACCCCTTCCATTTTTCATGAACACACCCTTTAAATAAAGATGCCGTTCGTTAACTTCTATTCAGTGTAAGGGTTTAAGTTGCTGAAGAAATTACAAAAGTCTAAATACAAAAACATCATTTAACAACAAAACCATTATAAAAGTTCATGGCATTTCTGTTTTTTTGAAGCATTAGTTTGCACAAAGACATTGTTCGTACTTCTTCAAAAATGTTTTAGTTTTGTATGTTAACGAATTAATTATTAATTTTGTTTGTCCCTGATTATCCTCTCTCGAATACTGTAATTGCATATATTTGTTTGTTCAAATATTCTTTTTCTTAATTTTGAATCTTTTACTCTCACATAAATTTTATACATGTAAAAACTATTGTTTCAGCAGTTATAAATAAATATACGATTTAAAGATTAAGTTCGCACTGATCAGTGACTTGCAGAAGGAAGACGTCTTTCGTATTTGATCTTTGCAATAATTTATAATTTGCGCCATTGCACAATTGTAATTGTAGGTCAGTCTAAATTTAGTAGTCAAATTCTTGAGTGATAATCATGAAATTATCCTAGGCCTGGTTTTACAATATCACCATCATATTTCATATATCATATTTCAATTTATTAACGTAGAATTTGTACACTCTCAGTACAGTTGTATTCTGTCGTCACAAGTGCACAATTCAGTTTTTGTGTCCGACAAAATTATCAATAATAGTGATAATTTTAGAATAAAGTGCTTTCCTTACAGTAAAATAAGTGCAATTGTATGTGTTCTTTAGTTTCTGTTTTTACACTTTTTTTTATTAAATCTTGGAAAACATGTCAACTAATTCGAGAAAATTTCGTTTTCCTTGTTATATATTCGACTCTTGTAACTAGTCTATAATTGGTTAATTTCTCTGTTACCACCTATTGTACTTGATAATCTATTTGAATAAAACCATAATTGTCGAAATCTGAAGAAAAATCTTTCATATTAGAATTGTTCTCCTACCCATGGGTACGTATAACGTATTGTGAATGTTACGCGAGCTACGCTGCGTTCATAAAGTCTATGTGATACCCATGCGAATCTCTGAGTTCCCCCTGAGGATCTGTACAGAACGTATTGTAAAGAACTAGTTTTAGAAGCTGTTTACAGTCCGACTACGCATGCGCAAGTTTTCTGCGTAGGAGCGAGCAGATTCTACTTCAGTATATAATTGTAATTTTTTCCATTGTTTTCTGGTTATCACTGTAAGATATCTTAAATTTTGACATTTTGGTAAAATTCAACTTCTTGATAAGAACTGCACGTTTCACATTGGGCTGATTTTATAGATACATCAAGAGAACAATCATTTTGAAGACGATCTATTCCATTTATTATTTATTCAAACAAGAGTCAAAATTAATATATTGAACGAAAATATTCCAACAGTGAGTAACTTAAAAATATGTAAACAGTCCCTTTAAACCTTTTAAACAGTTTACCTTCAATATCTTATGGTGATGTTCCCGTTTAGTGGCGATTATCCTGAGAGGAAACGGGTTGAGTTCTTGGAACGCGATCATCGTTAACCTCTTAACATCTACCAGGCTCTGAACCTAATATTAACTAATTAATGGGACTGTTAACCTCTTAACATCTACCAGGCTCTGAACCTAATATTAACTACTTAATGGGACTGTTAACCTCTTAACATCTACTAGACTCTGAACCTAATATTAACTAATTACAAACCAATTACAAACTAAATACAATTAAAACCATTTTCCATTTAAACTTTTATTCACATCAAGCAGTTAAACAACATGAATACACATAAACATAAAAAAGATAAATTGTCAATCGAAAAGCTTCTCTTAATTTACTTGTAAAGTTTTAAATCGAAAATAGCTTGTAATATATTGATATAATTGCCGACCACTGGATATATTTATAAAATTTACATGGTATACCTCTGTTCTGAATGTATTGAATATAGACATATAGTCTCCTTGTTTCATTAGTTTATCCTCCATATAGCTCAGAATACCCAGAGCATACCGGAATAGAACCTTAACAAAATATTTATACATTTTTAACAGTGTTAACCAAAATCTATCGTTGTATGTACTTTGCTTGTCGATCTGTTTGTTTGTTCGCATCAATTAAACGTCAAAACGGCTAAGATGATCTGATACTATTTTTGTTTGGTGGGACCCGGGAAAGGTTTATGGATGCTTAAAATTACAAAATATTGTTTTCAATAAATTTAGATTTTTAAAAATTTCTAAAAGTTCACAAAATTAAACAGTAAATCCTCGAATTTACTTGTTATTGTTTTATATTGTACGAAGAAAAAATGCTCAAAGACAAAGCCACGATTAATAGTTGAAATAAATAGTAAAGTCGAAATAAAACAAAATAAATTCCAAGAACTTGATAAAAATAGCCTTGTTAATTTAGGTTCAAATTCAAGAGAAAATCTGTAGGTTTATTTATAATCAAATATTAGTATTTTTAGAGAGGTGTTCTTTCCCATGGTTCCGTCTTTCAGGGAAACCTTTGGATTTTAATTCAATTCCACTCAGGTTCACATAGTAATATATTCAGGGTCACATAGTAGTATATTCAGGGTCAGATAGTAGTATATTCAGGGTCAGATAGTAGTATATGCAGGGTCACATAGTAGTATATTCAGGGTCAGATAATAGTATATTCAGGGTNCGATCTTCATTAAATTTTTGAAAATTTTGAAAATCCACGAAATTTTTTGTGAACCTCCGCGAATTATTTTTGTTTTGTTTTACGATGTACACAAAGAGAACATGTTCACAATTAATTTAGAAGATGGGCGCGAAGCGCCCTCTAAGGCTGGTAGTAATATATTCAGGGTCACATAGTAGTATATTCAGGGTCACATAGTAGTATATTCAGGGTCACATAGTAGTATATTCAGGGTCACGTAGTATATTCAGGGTCACATAGTAGTATATTCAGGGTAACATAGTAGTATATTTAGGGTCACATAGTAGTATATTTAGGGTCACCTAGTAGTATATTCAGGGTCACATAGTAGTATATTCAGGGTCACATAGTAGTATATTCAGGGCCACATAGTAGTATATTTAAGGTCACATAGTAGTATATTCAGGGTTACATAGTAGTATATTCAGGGTCATATAGTAGTATATTCAGGGTCAGATAGTAGTATATTCAGGGTCACATAGTAGTATATTCAGGGTCAAATAGTAGTTTATTCCTTTGAAATGTAATCAAAATCCTCTCTCGAAATTTATGGACACCATCAAAAGTTTGGAATTCCACATTTTTAACAATTATGCATCCTCCCCTCACCCCCCGGATAAAATCCTATTTACGGCCCTGTTACCTTGTTTCCTTCGAATAGGAAAGCATCCCAGATGTGTAGATATGTATTGACGGGCAGACTGTCAACAAACAAACAGAGAAACCAGTTTATAGAGAAGAGTGCTGGATCAACACCATGCGCTTCTAAATAGGGCTTAGATGAAAGATAAGGATGGGGTGATAGAGATTATGTACATTTCACTGTCACGTAGAAACTAGTTTAAAGCGACTGTAAGCGTAATTTCAAGTGACCCTCCATGCAAAGATGGTAATGTCCGATTTACAACCATACCCTTAAACCCTTAATCTGATCAAAAATAGTGAAGATTCCGTTGTTCTTCTGACTCGATAATTGTTTATATTTCTGCGAGGTTCTCCTTTCCTTTTCATAAGCAAGGAATCATTAGAGAAACAGAAACATTTTTAAACATGCGGTGTAATCTAATATCAAAAGTTATGCTTGTCCTCTTAACTCTCTCTTTAAATAGGAGATGTAATGTGTGGTCTGCTATAATTAATTAATTTCTAAAAACGCACCCTCAACAACATTTTTGCAGTGCATGCTGTTATATTTCTAATAAAAAGAGCAAAGACGATAATCATTTAATTTTATATTAGGTATACATTTACTACGAAACTACGAAATACATAACTACGNTATGAAGGTTTGTCTATTCTGGATATATTACCTAGATGTATCGCTAGATCCGGAAGTTTCTCACAAACCAGCTCTTTAAACACTGCCTGAAATACACAGATTACCATTTAAAACATATTTAAAAAGATCAACTAACAGAAGTCTCTCTAAACTATCTTCGAATTGATGGTGGCTTGTTTTAATTTCAATATTGTGATGGAAACCTACGAAACATGAAAGTTAATGAATAGTTTAAAATGTCTTTTTCCATAATTTGTTCACATATGTTTGATATATCAAAATTAATTTCAAAGTAAAATATATTTGAGTAAGCGATTTTTTAACGAAATAAGTTGCAAAACACTCTCTAATGTTTAATAAAGTTTATGAAAGAAGACATTCAAAACTATTTACAAACTTTAATGTTTCATGTGACACCCTACCCTATACAAACAGGAAAGAAAGTTTATGGAAACAAAACTTCGGTAAAAAAAGTCCCAATTTTCTGAAGTCCTAGGACAAAATGTCTCTTGAAATAAAGTCCCGAGTTTTAGATTCCTAGGACTTTCCCCCCCTAAAATAATATGGGGGCTCATTATAAAGTCTCAGGAAATAAGATCACAGGAAATAAAATCTGAAGAAATAAAAACCAAGGAAAGTCTTGGGAAATTGAGGTCTGAGACGATTTCCTACAAAGGGTCGTTTTCTTCTATGCATCTGCATATTCAATATAGCCAGGGGTGTTTTTAAGATCAAATCCCTTTTTTACAGGGTTGAAAACATTCTTTGTTCCTATGGACTTTCCACTTTAAGAGGACTTTATTTTCTCGAACTTTTTGTATAAAATTATACTGGAACCAGAAAAAAGCACTAGAAAATAACTTCTCAAAATGTTAAGTGTTTATTTTCAAGGTCTTTTTCCAACGGACTTTTTTAGTGAAAAACTTAAGAAATATATTTCCGAAAACTTGTTTCCAAGAATTATTTTTGGCGTTTAACGTGTTTTAAACACGAGTAATAATTATCTTTTAAATTAAGAAAAATAATGCTGAACAAATTGTGTCGTCTTTCCTATTGATTACTTGAAGTCTAACTGACCTGATCAACCTGAGCTCCGACCAGCTGTTTACAGTAGAACTGTGGAGGCATCAGCTGTTCCACGATGTAAACAAGACACCAAAAGGCGTCCTCCTCGTTCATGAAGAGCAAAGCGATGGCAGCGATCCTGTTGAACCCCTGGCAGTACTCCACCTCGGGGTTGTGGAGACTGTAGGCAAGCAGGACCCGACGGAGTTTAGGAATACCTAGATGATCAATGATCATGAATAAGAACTTTTTTGTTGTGAATAAATGGATCAAGAATTGATCTCCATCTTATGTAAACCTATAGATAAATCTATTTACTCTTTGATATCCCGTGATGGTCATACCCTGTAGGGATAACTTTAATTGAGGGATCAAACATTTATCCTCTTTAAAAGTGTTCACATTGGATATCAAGATCAAATATTCAATATCAGACAAATTTTTCAAGACGGCCATAAATTGTGTATTCTAGAAATTAGTAATGTTGATGAAAGAAAAAAAGGGGGTTAAGGATACCAAAATCAAATAAAATCAGACTTTCAGACATGCCCAATCACAAAACACCAAATCTGAGATAACAAGACTAAATCAAATCTGGATTCACTACGGTAACCTAAGAAACTTTGTCTGATCAAAAATGAATAAGATATCCATGTTTTCTTTTTTGAGAAATTGATGATTTTCAATTTTGGTTTCTCAATAAAACTGTCTTGCGGATTTGCTGCAGAAAACGGAGAAAATTGTTTGAATTTAAAGCTTAACAAATTACAATATCTTTTAAACATTGACTAGTTAGAAGGTTTAAGAGTATCATGTACACTCTTCTTCAAAAGGAGGGTCACTTAAAATTATAACAACAGTCCCCTTAATTGTAATTAATTACCTGATGAATGTGGAGATTCGTAATGCTTATTGTTGGGTAGAGTTCTCAGTAGATCTAGTTCTATCTGCTTAGCAGCAGGACACAGCTGAGGTCCAGGGTTATAGTTACTCAACAGTTTCTGCAGTATATACAGTTAGTTTCTGGAGTATATACAGTTAGTTTCTGGAGTATATACAGTTAGTATCTGGAGTATATACAGTTAGTTTCTGGAGTATATACAGTTAGTTTCTGGAGTATATACAGTTAGTATCAGTTTTTGTGTCCGACAAAATTATCAATAATTGTGATAATTTTAGAATAAAGCGCTTTTCTTACAGTAAAATAAGTGCAATTGTATGTGTTCTTTAGTTTCTGTTTTTACACTTTTTTATTAAATCTTGGAAAACATGTCAACTAATTCGAGAAAATTTCGTTTTCCTTGTTATATATTCGACTCTTGTAACGTAGTCTATAATTGGTTAATTTCTCTGTTGCCACCTATTGTACTTGATAATCTATTTGAATAAAACCGTAATTGTCGAAATCGGAAGAAAAATCCTTCATATTAGAATTGTTCTCCTACCCATGGGTAGGTATAACGTATTGTGAATATAGTTTACATTTGTACATTTTGTCAAATATATTGCGATAAGATTACCAGTTTAAAGATTTATTCTAATTCTTTTAAAATAAAAATGACGTCTTGATCTTTATCTTCCTTAAAGGAACTGTGGACGTAATTTCACGAGACTCTATATTTGATAAAGTAACATGTTTGGTTCAAAATGTTAAACTGACGGAGGTATCCTTATTTTTCTTACTGAAAACTGAGTGCCTGGAAACTCTAGTGTTGTTTACACTGGAATGTACACTGGAATTCAGCTAGAATAAAAAGGATTTCTAAGGATTCCAGTGTTAATTGGACATGTCAGTTTAACCCATATAGAAGTTCACCCTTATTTACGTCTATAGTCCATAACAGAACAGAATAAAACGGTTTGAATCACAGATATTTTTAGGGGCATGTCAGGAGCGTCACGGCAAGCACAACATCTCCTCCTTCCCCTGGAAATTAAAAGCTGCCCCTTCACGATACGCACACGGATTACAAAAATGCAGTTTTACAATTAATTTAAAACCTAAAAACATTTTCTTAAAGTTTCTTGACACTTAAAAGAATAATATCAGACAACTAGTAAATAGGTTTTAGACATTTTTTAACGTTTCTTTAATTTTTCCATTTAGAGTTCATAATTCAAAAAGTTTTCGTTTCTCAAAAATTACAAAACTTTCTTTTTATAAAAATAATCGATTTTTCCGCCGATATGTTTAGTTTTTTTCAAGTCGTGAATAAAAATTTCAAATTTCACATTATGATGATAAAAAAATTTAATTCAATATTTTTGTGACAAAAAAATATAAGTTTAGAAAAATGGAAAAAAACAGTAAATAGATATATAATCTATAAATAATGTATAAATGTAGGTCAAATAATAAAACAAGTTCTCAACTGCTTAATACAACATATTTTCAATTCACTTTTCATAATAAAATCATTACATAATAATAATTTAATTAATCCACGCTAATACTGTGATAAGTTAACAGCTATAAATTACTTGAATTCATAACAAAACGATTTTCAAATTAATAATAGATTTTCGTATATTTGTCCGTCTGAATAAGAATTTTAATGATTCATCTGAATTATAAATCTCAGTTTGGTTAAAAACGTATATCTACTTTTAAAACAAAAATATGGCACTGGGCTTCTCCATGTACATATAAACTTGTAAATTAAACATACAGAATATAATAAGTGTCCATTTGCAAATTAAATACAATATTTCGGAAACGTAAAAATATTTAAATGAATAAATATTTTAGATATGTAAGTACAAGTATATTATTGTAAATTTGTGAATTGATTTTTTAAAAATTCATTGTATACACTGTCATAATGTTACTTAATTCATTAAAATGATTGTTAATAGTATCTAACCGACTTCTTTAGTGTACATACTTTAGTGTTCGCGTTTAAATCAATACAATAAAGACGACATTTCTATGTAAGTTTTTATCTCTAACAAGCTTTTTCAAATTACAAGTTTACAAGTAAACAAAAAAGCTGTTAATTAACAGAGTATAAATATTAATAAATGTTAACAACTTTTTTGTGTATCTCCATGTTTATGTGAAACCGTGCTGTTTGAAAGCTTGGTGGAAAACAAAAGTCGTCTTCATTGTAATGATATAGACGACGACTGTATCTGTGCAGTACATAATGCTAGATTCTATGACTCCTCCTCATCGCTTTGTACAGTACATGATGAAGGTTTTATGAGTGAATTCTTCCTATAATCTTGTCTGATTACCTCCAAACTTTCCATTTGAGCCTAAACAATAAAAATATAATTATTTACAACTATTTAACAATGATATAATTCATGCTTGGTCAGACAAAGCTTTAATGGTACTATCGTGAATCGGGTATTGCAATCTTTGCATGAAAGGTCACCCATAATTAAGCTTACACTATATTTATACAAAGAAAAAGACTTGGAATAATATCTATTTTAAGAGAAAAGATTATTGAATTGAATTAAAATTATTTTTGACTATTTCAGTGATAACAATAAAACTCTGAAATAGAAAGACGACTTTTTAGAATAAATTTATAACTTTCAAAAGTCCTATGAGCATGAGACAAAGCAATTGTGCATTGTAAACAGACCCATTTGACTAAATTAGTGATTGAAAAAGTGTCTAGAAAAACTATTTGCTTTGTAACAACATCAAATAAATGTCGTTTTTCCATTCCATTGTTATCTGGTTATCACTGTATATAAATCTTAATTTAAGAATCTGTTCCAAATAGAAAAGAATAAAAGACGACATTGAAAAGATGATTTAATCTGTTCATTATTTAATGTTTATCATTGGGAAAATTTGGTTGAACCCAAAGTTGTATGATAAGGTTAGACACTCTGGATGCGGAGCTCCGTTGTACTAAAAATGTCGTCATCATAGCAATGGACACTCAAAATTCTCAAATGACGTAACTGATTGGTGGAAGCTGAAGTGACAACGTTGTTGGTAAGAGAGGGGAAGGATACGCTTTAACAGCTGACAAGGATTTTCAGTTTAAATTGTTAAAATGAAGACGACAATTCTAGTACATTGGAGTGCATACAACCTTGGTTGGACCCATTATTCATATCATATTTACAAAACTACCAAATTAAATGTCTGTTAATCTTTTTTATACGTGTCTAATATCTGTTAATCTGTAAAATTCACTTTTTACTATCTTCTGTCTTCTATCTACCCATCAACCTATCTACCCATAACCCCTGGCCCTACCCATCAACCTATCTACCCATCACCTATCTACCTATCTACTCATAAACCCTACCCATCAACCTATCTACCCATCACCTATCTACCTATCTACCCATAATTCCTAGCCATCTACCTATCTAACCATCAACCTATCTACCCATCAACCTATCTACCTGACACATATCCATCTAGCTACCAATCTATTTAGCAACCAATCTATCTACCTAACTCTAGCTTCTTAACAATCTATTTACTGAACAACCTAAATACCTTTAAACCAATCTTCCTACCAACCAATCTACCTGACTAACAACCATCTACCGAACATCTATTATTACTAGTTTACAAAACAATTAACAACCAATCTACCAACAATTTAACGACCTGTCTTCCTAACTAAAAAGAGCTATAGCTATCTATCTACTAGTCTACCAACTGTGTATCCTAAGAGACTGCCCTCTGAAAACTCTTTAAATATCTCTAGGTTGCAGCCTCCAAAACAAAGCAAAGTAATTGAAGTTATTTATTCAATTATCCCACATAACTTTTCTGAAAAAAAAATGAAAGCTGAGATCTTTTTACGTATGGGAAGAGGGTATATTATAAAGCTACTCTACAGAGGCGAATTAAGGCAGAGGGAGCAATGGGGGCCCTTTTGAAAATGTAAAATGTCAAAAAAAGGTTAAGTTACTCCTCCGTTGCACTGTACAAATTCATGTACATACGCCCTTGTATATTTTAGTACATAAGAATATTTCTGGTTGTTATTTAAGCTACGTACTTAGAACCAATAGTTTGGGGCGTATTTTTATAATATTGGAATTTGGGTTTAAAACATAGAGTCGGTGGAGTGGAGATGGTTTTTTATTAAAAAGTTTTCTGTTATACATTTCTATCTATCTGAGAGTAATCAATTTTCTATCTTTAAATAAATTGTATTTATTTATCTTAAATAAAGGATGCATGAATCTATTTTTAATATATCTATCTAATTATAACCAATCTATCTTGACTCCAACTACCTGTCTATGGCCTGCTGCCTGAGCTGGTTGAGCTCAAGAACCTCCTTGTTGAGGAACCTGTTCTGCATCTCGTATGCTGTGACTGTATCCTGTAGAGCCTCCTTCTCCTAGATAGATTAATCAAGGAATGTTGTCTTTAATTACTCCAACCCATGCTAAGCCTATCAGTAGGATTGTTAACCGTTTCGTTTATCTAAAAACCATTGTATCGTTTTTAGAAAAAAAACCATTATTCACAACGAAGCATTCGAGTTGAACTTTTAAAAAACGAAAAAGAAAATGACGAACTGAAATTAAACTTCACCAGGCTTCAACTCATCTACAAAGAATATAACTGAGCGTATCCTGGGAGTAGACCAGGACCATGTGAAAGCTGGACTGAAGGTCAAGTTGAACCTGTGGAGTAAAGGAAGAGGAGAATGAGGAGAAAAAAATATCTTGGCACCCTTTACAGAAAAGCGAGATCTAGTGAGACCTTAGTTTGTGAGAAAGGTCGCAAAAGGGCCCCTTATGCCCCTTATTTTGACAAGACTACAACTGAATTGGCACTGAGACCCTTAAACCTACACTACTAACTGGAAAACCTATAAATACGTATGACATTCGTATATATATACGTATTTTTAAGTAAGAAATACGTAAAAATACATATTTTCCATAAGTAATTTAGTTACCATTTCCTTGGTAAAAATACATATTTTATATCCGTACAAATACATCCCTTCCGATACACCCCTTCCGATACACCCCTTCCGATACACCCCTTCCGATACACCCCTTCCGATACATCCCTTCTGATACATCCCTTCTATTTCCATATCCATAAACGCTACCATGGTTCCTCAACAAAACCAATCAGAGCTCGGAACTTTTGTGTAGAGTATCAGGGGAGGATCGTTTATCTTGAACACATGATCTTGATTTAACATGGGCACTTATAAATTTAAGGATACATAATCAACCCTCAATTCAAGTTAACCCACTACGGGATATAGAAAAGTATGCCTATTTAAGATTGAGATCAATGTTAAATTCCGAGGTTCACAAGCACAACACAGAAGTTCTAACTCAGTTCAAATAAACAATGCAAAACTGACTTTTCAAATCAGCATATGCTCGAAGCTTGGACCTCCACAACTTGCTGTATCTAATCTAAATGATTATAACCAAAATATCTCACACTCCAAAAATTACCCGTATTGTTTTCAAACACTTGGCTCTTCAGTTAATAAGAACCATTTATGACGGTATTAGAAATCAAAATATAGCTCACAAATACTTGCATACATACAAGGTATCAATTTTATGAAAGAGAACCCATTCTTTTTATGCAATCAATATTTAACACTAAGATTGCCAAGGTCACTTGAAAAAAACCCCTTTATTATAATCCTCTATCCTGACCTCTCTAAAGCTGCAACAACAGAGTCCCATCTCCTCCTAGCCTCGTCCTCCGATATCTCTTCCGCTCTCTCCTCCTGTTGCCTCCGCATCCTCTCCGCCCTCACCTCGAGGCTACCGTCCTCTCCCATCCGGAAACCGAACCTGGAGGAAATATCAAACTGCAAGCGTATTTCAAGTGACCCTTCATGCAAAGATGGCAATGCTCGGTTTACAACCACGTATCCTTAAAAGCTGTGTCTAATTAAGTATGAATTAGATTTCAATGGTTAAAGTTTTAAGAACAGATTATTTTCGGTTGTGGTTTCTCTACAGAACTGACTTGCGCATTTCTACTGCAGGGAGACATCTGAATTAAATACTTTTCAATCGGGAAAAACGACGATATCTTCCACATTATTGATCAGGATTCAAGGGAACCGCTGCGAGGTGGAGCGTAGCAATCTTTCCACGGAGAGTCACTTAAAAAAGGTCGTATTTAATACATGGTTTACACTACTGAACAATAGTAATAATCTAAGTTGATTGGTTTATGTATCTCACTACTTACTTTTTCAAGTTCATTCTCTAAATCTAAATGACCTATTTATTCCAAATTAAACAGAAAATTCTTGGGTTATTTTTTTAATGTCTGCAATAATTATAAATTAAATAAGGAGGATTGAATGAATTGAATAAAGTACAATGTATGGTAGTTGAACTGAGGATGAAGTATTGTGGAAATTTTTAGGAATCATTTGAGACCAATGAGGTACATATTTGTGCAGCGAGAGCGCAAATTCAATCTTTAAAATCCTCATAGATTGTTTATTTTTGAGAGATGATTTTGGGAAACGGTTAAAAAAATTATTAAAAGATGCAGTAAAAATCCTACAGTAAACTAATTAGCTGTTTAAGAACAAGTTGAGAAAATAAAAATTAACTATTATCATTGAAAATAAGTTATCTTATTCAGTGATTGGTTTCTTTAATGTCTTATTGTTCACAATATCTTTAGATTTCCTGGAATTATTATTGAAAAGACGACCGTTGGAAAATTTGAAGAAATCTGCGAAAAAATTCATAAAGAATAAGAAATCATTGATTCTAACATTGATTTATTGAGAAATATGTCCCTGAACATTTAATTAGTTTACCGTAGAATTTGTTAACATTTTTTGTCGTTGTTATTTAATAATTTAAAAAAAATCGATTTTCAAAACGTAACCACCGCTTTAGGAATTAAGAAAACAGTTCTCTACCATCTCTCCTACCTGAACCTACCTTATCCTACCCTCTCTCCTACCTGAACCTACCTTATCCTACCCTCTCTCCTACCTGAACCTACCTTATCCTACCCTCTCTCCTCCTGAACCTACCTTATCCTACCCTCTCTACTTTCCTCGCCTGATCACATATCCTCACCATTCCCTACTTTCCCCCAGAAGTTTATGTGATGGCCTTTCATGTTTCAATACATCATGTACCTTGAGTTCAACGATCTGATGTTTCAGATCTGGATGTCCGGCTTTGGACTAGGACAGGTTAGTAACTTAGTGCTACCACACTTAAGCACCCAAATGAACGCCTTTGAACGTCGACTTTGCGCTCAAACTCGGTAAATATACATCATTAAAACGTTTTTAATGTCTCAAATGAATTCTAAAAACTTTCTCCACAATGCAATACTAAATTCTCAGTTCAACTACCATACATTGCCGGTCACTCCCTTTATATATATATTCTTCAAGAATACAAGTGGTAAATTTAAAATCATGTTTTAACCAGAAGTTTGTATACAATACATCACAAAAGATCCATCAGCCATCTTAATATTTGAGAGTTGAGCTTAAAAACTTCGGACGAACAAACAATAAAAAATAATAAATCAGAATTATTATTTATAAGGGACTTATTAAATAAAAAAACTTAATGAACAAATTCATGGACTAAAAGAATTAATTCTTAAAATGAATCAATTGATTAAAAGAATAAAAATGGTTTTTTAAATGACTAAATTAATTAAATAAATTAATAAATTGTTTAAATAAATATTTTAATGAATAAATTGCTTAAGTATTATTTTAATAAATTAAATGATAAAATTAATTATTAAATATAAACATATTGAAATGAAATGAATGAATTGATTAAATGTTAAATCAATGAATGCATGAATGATGAATAAAGTTAAACCTGTCGTATTCGGCTGAATGAGAATTAAGACTTGGCTTTTCACAATTCTCCACAATATCCTAGTTTATTAATAATCAACTCCAGTGATATTCTAAATAACCCTGAATAATATAAATTGATAATTGACGCATAATAGGTATTATAGGTATTATAGGTAACCTGATCTGCATTTTTTTTTTGCCGCAAACTATTTCTAAGGTCAAAGACGACTTTGCAGTCTTCAATCAATTTATATCATTTCGGGTTAGTTAGAATATCACTGTATTTTAATATAAAATTAAATTATAAATACAACAGATACTTTTTTCTTTATTATCCTATGCTTCTAAATAGAAAATTTTATATACAGTTGTCGTCTCATATAGCAATACAATGAAGACGACTATTAATTTAAATTTTGCTATTTTTGACAAGCTTTCAAACAGCCTACATATAAACAAAGAGAAGCTTTTAAAAACCGCATTTCTTTGTTTACTTGGAAACTTGTAATTTAAAAAGAGCTAAAATAGAAAAGTCGTCTTCATTGTATTGATACAAACGACGACCACTGTAATTAGTTATCACAAACATAAAAAAGTAAACAAGAAAGTAGTGTACAGTGTACACTAAAGTTCTCGACACTTATTATTTAGAAAGAAAAATAAGGATTTCTTTGATTAGATTAATGATTAGACAAAGGTTTAAAGGAGCGCGGAGCGTTGTGAATCGGACATGGAAATGGAAAGTATCTTAAAATCACGTCTAACAAGTTTTAAATACCCCTCGGATTATCAGATATTTGGTCAATCCTGCTCTTTATCTCTAAAGAGATGGAACTAAGAAGTGATGAGCCTACACGCAAACAAATACCAACCAATTTACCAACCTTTAAAGGTACAAACTAGTAGCTTACCTTTAGAAGATGACCGACCATCTCCTGCCTGCTGGCCGACACCATCACCTACACAAAAAATAATTTAAAAAGATTCTAATTTTAACAAATTAGGCCCCTCCCCCCTCACGCACCCTTACTCAAAAATTAAAGTCACTCTTGAAAATTAAAAATTAAAATATGATTTGGAGAAGCTGGTGAACTGCCATAATAGTTTTATGAAAGTTTTAATTTACCGTGGGACCTATAAAACTGTGGTATGGGAAGACGACTGATAACTCAACTTAGTCCATTAACATGAAACACTGCAGTTGTATAAGGTACACAGTACATACTCACAGACTCATTTTTCAAGCTATAACTTGTTAAATTATTGACTCTTTAACAATATTATATACACATAATTTTGTTCAAATGTGGTCTTTCTATTCCACAGTTTAATCGGACTCACTGTATGTAATAATATACAACTATCACTGGTTTTGGCAGAGAAAAATAGGAAGAATGAATTCCTCCAAACCACTCATAAATTCAATGAAAGAAAATATAGTTACAAAACAGTAATTTTTTAAATATTTTAGATGCAAGTTGTGCATTAAGATAATATTTTTAATAAATCTTTTATTACAAAAATTAAATGAATAATGTACTTTCTACGATAATTTGTCTATGCTGTTATGTTCTTTTTGGGACATCTGTATGATGTACAGGGTTACCCACAAAGAATGAGACTGTAAAGACAACTTGAAACTCCTCAAACATGACGATTCAAAGTTTAACTGAAGTTTTCTGCATTAAAAGTGGTAATTAAATGCTTTAAATGGCTTTTTCAGTGATTTTGCAAAGAAAGAAAGAAGTTTATAGATGCAGGGAATCACGAAAATAAGGAAACAAACTTATATAAACTACGTACAGTCGTCTCTGGAGTCTCATCCTTTGTGGGTATCCCTGTATACTTTGTCTATTTACATATATACCTGTGGATTGTGGAGTTCGTTAAGAAGAAGAAGATATTTTGACTGAATTTGATAAAATTTAGCTTCCCAATCACTAGCCTCGATAAATAACTTTTGTTCCCTGAAAATTTTAAGTTTTATCACAACTTCACACCCCTTCCGATACACCCCTACTGATACATCCCTTCCGATACACCCCTTCCGATACATCCCTTCCGATACACCCCTTCCGATACATCCCTTCTGATACATCCCTTCCGATACTCCCCTTCCGATACATCCCTTCCGATACATCCCTTCCGATACTCCCCTTCCGATACTCCCGGCTTCCGATACACCCGGCTTCCGATACACCTGGCTTCCGATACACCCGGCTTCCGATACACCCCTTCCGATACATCCCTTCCGATACACCCCTGTCTCTCACATTGAAATATTCTAGCAAAGGAACTGTGAGCGTAATTTCAATAGAGGGATATGCCTGATTCACATCGGTACCACTGAAACCTTTACCAGATTAAAAATGTGGAAGAAATTGTCGGTTTTTTAGGTTTAAAAGTGTTTAATTCTGATAATATATATATATATATGTGTAGTAGAAACGCATAAGTCACTTTGGTAGAGAAACCACAATTCAAAATAATAGTTTTCAAAATCATAAACATTGATATAATTCATGCTTGGTCAGACAAAGCTTTAATGGTACTATCGTGAATCGGGTATTGCAATCTTTGCATGAAAGGTCACCCATAATTAAGCTTACACTATATTTATACAAAGAAAAAGACTTGGAATAATATTTACTGAACAACCTAAATACCTTTAAACCAATCTTCCAACCAACCAATCTACCTGACTAACAACCATCTACCGAACATCTATTATTACTAGTTTACAAAACAATTAACAACCAATCTACCAACAATTTAACGACCTGTCTTCCTAACTAAAAAGAGCTATAGCTATCTATCTACTAGTCTACCAACTGTGTATCCTAAGAGACTGCCCTCTGAAAACTCTTTAAATATCTCTAGGTTGCAGCCTCCAAAACAAAGCAAAGTAATTGAAGTTATTTATTCAATTATCCCACATAACTTTTCTGAAAAAAAAATGAAAGCTGAGATCTTTTTACGTATGGGAAGAGGGTATATTATAAAGCTACTCTACAGAGGCGAATTAAGGCAGAGGGAGCAATGGGGGCCCTTTTGAAAATGTAAAATGTCAAAAAAAGGTTAAGTTACTCCTCCGTTGCACTGTACAAATTCATGTACATACGCCCTTGTATATTTTAGTACATAAGAATATTTCTGGTTGTTATTTAAGCTACGTACTTAGAACCAATAGTTTGGGGCGTATTTTTATAATATTGGAATTTGGGTTTAAAACATAGAGTCGGTGGAGTGGAGATGGTTTTTTATTAAAAAGTTTTCTGTTATACATTTCTATCTATCTGAGAGTAATCAATTTTCTATCTTTAAATAAATTGTATTTATTTATCTTAAATAAAGGATGCATGAATCTATTTTTAATATATCTATCTAATTATAACCAATCTATCTTGACTCCAACTACCTGTCTATGGCCTGCTGCCTGAGCTGGTTGAGCTCAAGAACCTCCTTGTTGAGGAACCTGTTCTGCATCTCGTATGCTGTGACTGTATCCTGTAGAGCCTCCTTCTCCTAGATAGATTAATCAAGGAATGTTGTCTTTAATTACTCCAACCCATGCTAAGCCTATCAGTAGGATTGTTAACCGTTTCGTTTATCTAAAAACCATTGTATCGTTTTTAGAAAAAAAACCATTATTCACAACGAAGCATTCGAGTTGAACTTTTAAAAAACGAAAAAGAAAATGACGAACTGAAATTAAACTTCACCAGGCTTCAACTCATCTACAAAGAATATAACTGAGCGTATCCTGGGAGTAGACCAGGACCATGTGAAAGCTGGACTGAAGGTCAAGTTGAACCTGTGGAGTAAAGGAAGAGGAGAATGAGGAGAAAAAAATATCTTGGCACCCTTTACAGAAAAGCGAGATCTAGTGAGACCTTAGTTTGTGAGAAAGGTCGCAAAAGGGCCCCTTATGCCCCTTATTTTGACAAGACTACAACTGAATTGGCACTGAGACCCTTAAACCTACACTACTAACTGGAAAACCTATAAATACGTATGACATTCGTATATATATACGTATTTTTAAGTAAGAAATACGTAAAAATACATATTTTCCATAAGTAATTTAGTTACCATTTCCTTGGTAAAAATACATATTTTATATCCGTACAAATACGTAAGTGACAAATGTATGTAAAAACCTAAAAAATCAGATTTTTAGGGTTTTCCTACACGTAAATTTAGTTTTTAGTTTTAATTTTTGGAATTTATAGGTTTTACCTATACGTAAAAATACGTATTTTTAAGCATATTCAAGTTCTATAAAGCCAAAATGTTAAAAAGTTGACTAAAATTTTGCATGCACATTGTTCCTTCATATCATACAACTAATTCCACAAATTTCTTATATCCATTCATAGATATCTATTATTTTCAATATTCTTCTACACAAATTCACACCATGATCATTCCTTCATCTGTATCCATCTAAACGTTAATATATGCATTTTGTCTGTATCTTCAACAATTACAAATTCATTGTATCTGTTACAAACACTTACCTTTATATCTGTTAAAATTCTGTCAAAGAAGGACTTCTATTAATAAAAAATCGAGAATTTACTGACATTCATTCTAATGAAAACATCAATTTAGTCCAAAATGATAGAAATTTTGAAAAAATGTATTTACCTAAATTTTTGCATTACATTTCATACATAAAAATTCGCAAGAAAAATCTTAAAATATTTTTAAAATAAATTGTGCAGTTGGCATGAAATTTACGAAAATATACGTACTTTTAGGTTTGTATCAAACTTTTCAACTATAAAGAAAAACCCAAGAAGTAAGTACAAATTTGTAAAATAAAAACCTAAAAACCTTAGAAAAATTAATTGGGTTGACATTTACGAAAAAACGTAATTTCAGGTTTGTATTAAAAAAACATCCATTTTTTAAGATAAGAAAAAAACTAAAAAATACATAAAAATATGTAAAATAAAAACCTAACAACTTAGAAAAAAAAGTTGGTATGAAATATACAAAAATATACGTATTTTTAAGTTTGCCTCAAAGTTTCAAACTTTAAAAAAAATTCAAGTAAAGAAAAAACCGAAAAAATAAGAAAACCAAAAAACCAAAAAACTTTGAAAAATTCCTTTGTATGAAATTACGAAAATATACGTATTTTTAGGTTTGCATCAAACTTAAAAACCCTAAAAATTCAATTTTTTAAGTAAAGAAAAAGACAAAAAAATACGTAAAAATGAGTAAAATAAAAACCTAAAAACTCTAAAAAAATACTTATTAAGAAGTATACACACGTAAAAATACGTCTCTGGAAACCCTAAGCACTTAAAAACCCGCTTGGTATGATAAATACATAAATATACGTAATTTCTTTTCCAAAAATATACCTAAAAATGTGTATGCCTTTATAGAGGCGTTTGTATTTTTAGGTTTTCGGGTTAGTAGGGTAGAGAGGCCCGTGGACGCCACTTATTCTGAGGTGGTGAAAACGGTAAATATATATAAGGCTAAAATGTGACCAAACTGTTATTACTGTTCTGTATAATACAGAATGAACAGTCCTTTTCTAGCACCTCAGCGGAATAAAAACCCCCAGCCAAACCCGGTTAGTTCTAGCTCTACTCCTAAACATAGATGATGGATATTCAGCTACACCCGAACACCCTGAAACTGAACCTTCTTCCCAAGATAAACATGATAATGTATCCTCCTCACCTACTTTACCGGATTAAACCCATCCTACATCCTCAGTGAATACAAACCTAAATCCTATTTTATTTCAACTATTCCTGAAGGATATGAATTCACTCCATTTGATATCGACACTTCCTTTATTTACCAAATCTGTAAACCTCATGGTGAAATAAACAAAATAGTTATTATTAAAAGATACAGGGCGATGCCCTGGTAGAATTCAAATCAGCTGAAAATGCACTTGAGGCTAAAACCATCCTAGACAACACAGAACTTTTTCCTGATGAACCCTGGTTAACTACACTTAATGTGGCATTTTCTTTCCAGAGAGCTAGAAAGAGAAGAAAATATTAGGATCGAGATTGCTCGTGATTTTACAAAAATCCTGTATTGTTTGTAATTTAAAAATAGATTTGTTTTCTGCGATAATGAATAATTCAACCATAAAACATGACATAGTCAATAAATATTTAGATCTAAAAACGATCGTTTTCCAAAAGTGAAAACGATCCGTCCCTTCCTAGAAGGTTGCAAACAAATTCACAAAATTTATCCCCGCATCTTTTAATTGCAACGTGGCTTTTTTTTTTTTAAAGGACACCTAATCACCTAACCGTTGATATACTTTTTACAGTGTAATAATTTCTTCGTAGATTAATGAAAAGAAAAAGTAGTCGAGAGGAAGGGAACAATAAACTAAAAAGAGCTCTCTTTAGCCCTCAAAATACTAATATTTTTCAAACAAATTAATAAATGAATTTTAGGATAATTAGGTAGAAATAGATGATTTTTGGAAAATAAATGAATATTTAAAAAAAATGAACTTTTGGAAAAATAAGAAATTTTAAAGAAAAAATGATTTTTTGGGGAAAAAAAAACTTTTGGAAAAATAATTGAATTTTTGAAAATTTAAATTAATTAATTGATGCTAAAATTACATATTTTTCATATCACTCTCTCTCTCCACATGTTCATTGTACATTGTACATAATAATGATAAAACAATTAAATGAATAAAATATATTAATATAATATAATATAATAATAAAATATATTTATATAATTCACCTTGTCAGAATCTGTTTGAGTTCCGAGACTCACTTTTTCAGAATAGAAGAAGGTAGATGAACCATTAGATAAAGGGGGAGTCTCCTAAAAATTGAAATAGTTATTTTTTCTCAATTAAAAAATGTTCGGTCAAACAAACTTCCTTAAAAAAAGTATGAAAAAAATATTAACGAAAGTTTGCTTTAAATAAGTATTAATTAGGTTCCCCGACAAATCAAGGTTTTGATTTTGCTTTTATTTCATTATTCCTTTAGATGGGATGATAAAAAAATTGAATAGAAATTAAAACCAATCCAAAAGATGAATAAAGCCTTATTTGGAACTGATTCCAAACTGGATGACTGAACTAATGTTTCTTGATGTCCAATGAAAAAGGTTGATCAATCAAGAAAAGAAATTACCTAATTATTCGACTAATTTGCCCAATTAAAGATCCAATCATCGATGTAATGAGAGTGAATGTATTAATTGAAAAAGGGATGATAAAATAAAAGATTTAGTGAGAGAATACAAATGTATATTGTTTGTCAAAATAATGTAAATTTCACGTTCAATTGAAAACTTGTATGTTATATGTTCTCCCGAAGAGCTGTTTAGAAAATTGTAACATTTTTTATATCCAACCAAATAAATTTGCCTTAATCATATTTAAGCGTAAAATCAAAACTAATGGAGCTACGAGGTCACTTTTAGTTTAATTAATGTCGTATAGTTAAATATTTGATAAAGTTCATTATGCAAAGTTGTACATACTAAGTGTTTGCAATTGCAATATGTAGTATGTAGGTCTCCAAAATTGTATTTTCTTTTTCTTAAATAAAAAGATGTAAATTTTCCCAGTATGCAGTAAACCGTATTAGGTACATTTACAGAATACAGAGGAAACAATATTAGATGTTTAGTCAATATCTTTCAATTTACTTAAATAGTATTTTTAATTACAAATATAGGACAAACTTAATAAAATAAGTTTTAAAATGCTTTGGAGGTGTTGAAAAAAATAAAAATTATAAAAATATTGTATAAATATTATAAAATATTTTACAAATACTAAAAAATACTGTACAATATTATAAAAATTATTGTGTAAATATATATAAAATTACTGTACAAATAGTATAAGAATGTTGTACAAATATTTAAAAAATAGTGTACAATTAATTTATAAATATTGTAAAGAATGTATAACAATAACCAAAAATCACTATTTCTAACTCTCTGCGGACAAAAAAACAAAATGTTTGGTTTGACATTTATCTAGTTAATTAATTTGTTTATAAATTGATTGTCTCTATATAGTATACTATCTACCAGCATCAATAGAAGGTATCAGAGGGGGTGGGGGGGCTTTGGGAGCTCAGTTCCCCCCTGGATCAGTGAAATCTATGGTTTTCAGTTTTTGAGACCCCCACGGGAGCTCCCTCCCCCCCCACCCCCTAGAATAAAGAAAACAAATTTAAGTTCTCCCAAAGTCCCATTGGACAAATTCCTGAATATGAAAAGGTATCAATCAAGTATTCTAGAGAGGGTTGCTATACTATATTCTTAACTAGGGGTTCTATACCACTTTAACCCAATACAGTGAAAACTAACCAGGAGAAGAAGGTCAAACTGAATTGACATTACTGGTACAACTTTGTGACCTTGTTGCTCCTCTAGGTCTGATTTTGTATGAAAAAGGCAAACTTCTTCGGTTACAAACTAGCAATTCAAAACATTTCTGTTCTTCTCAATAGTTCTTCAATTGGAGGAGTTTTACGTGAGAATTATTTTGATTTTAAGCGAATAAGAATATTTTCAGTTGTTTATTAATTGGTAATTTTAAACCGGTCTATTCCGAATAGGAAGTTTTACATATGGGTTTACTCCCAGAATTGGGAGTTTTAACCGTGTGTATCACCGTGGACTAAGGTCAAATTAAATTCGAACCAGACCAACCCCTTGTACCAGCCTTAGAAAGGCACGGCAAGTACCGACCCTATTCTATGTCGGCCCGGATTCAGCTTTAATGGCGTGGCCAGACTTTTTACCCAGACTGGGCTATCAAAGGCCTATTTCATTTACCCCACTAGCATAGTTTAGTGTGGTATCTCAATAATCAATGTTTATTTGCCTTACTTCCCATGAACTTGTAAAAATACTATTTATTCATTAATATTTAAACAGCCTTGATTTTAAAGCGTCGCAATGGCTTGGGTGCTGATGTTTTACCTCACCCAGTCACTTATACTTTTGTATAGCCCTGAACACATTGATTCTAGCTTAAGTTTAAAAGGAGTAATTGGAAATATATTTTTCGATTTTTGCTTGAGAGCGTGTACATCTTTGTTAGCAGAATGCAGTGAAGGGGGACTATAGGGGGTATTCAGCTACCGACCCGTGGTGGCTGCAGGGATAATTCAATTGAGGGATCCTCCATTTATCCTCAAATTTGAAAGTGCCCACATTAGATGTTGAGATTATGTGTTTCAGATTAACGGTACTCTACAGTCTACACATACATAAAGATTAATTATAAAGTACCTGGTTAATCTTATCCTGAAGTTCCATCTCGTGTAGCGCGGTAGTCAACCTGATTATAGAGGTATCCTTGACCTGGATCAGCTGAAGGTAGGTAGTAGCTTCATCTTCTAGCTTGTCTATTCGCTCCTAGGTATTCAAGTTTCAATTTAGGATCAACAGGATCAAAAAATAAATAAGAATTAAGAATCAAAAGAGAAGATCCAGGATTAAAGATTGGGTCTATGTTTATCTAAAAATAGTTTTTAATTTACGTCTTTTTTAAAAATTAAATCAAATTGTTTAACCTTTTTGATAAATCACTTTGTTTAATATCTTTTGTCAGAGTAAACTTTTTGCATTATGTAATACAAGCAAACTTGTGGGGAATACAATTTTGAAATATAAGTCATCGATCATGCATCGATCATGCATCGATCATGCATCGATAAACATTCTTGTGGAGTCTGTTATCTTCTTTTTTGTGAAATTTTAAAAAATAAGACATCAATAGGCAAGTTTTTCATTTAATACCGTTTAATCAAAAACTATTTTGATCCCCCTAAAAATAATTTATTTTCCCCTGTTGAGCGAATTTATTTTCCCCTGTTGAGCGAATTTATTTTCTCCTGTTGAGCGAATTTACTTTCCCAGTTGAGCGAATTTATTTTCCCCAGTTGAGCGAATTTACTTTCCCAGTTGAGTGAATTTATTTTCCCCAGTTGAGCGAATTTATTTTCCCCAGTTGAGTGAATCTACTTTCCCAGTTGAGCGAATTTACTTTCCCAGTTGAGCGAATTTTCATGAAAGAGGGGGTGGGGCATAATTTTCGAGAAAATATACACCCCTGATTACTAACCTGTAACTGATGAAGGTTTCCTTGTTTTAAAGTTGCATCTGTCTCAGCTTCTACAAGCTGTCTATCCTTCTCTCTCAATATCTCTAATAGTTCCCCTGCAAAGTGAAAGGAAACATTATTTTCTTATTAATTATTATTTTTTTCAACCCATCCACAAAGAAAAAATGTGATAAACATCTGAACTTAATCTAAACCAAATTTGCTTTCCAACTTTATATATTTTATATATTTTATATATTTTATATATTCTATATATTTTATACATTTTGTATATTCTATATATTTTATACATTTTATATCAAGATTCTTTTATTGCAAAATTAAAAGACATTTTGTAAAACCCCCTCTCTCAGGAGTTAGTCTTATTACAATCTAAAAAATCGATCCATTTTTATGGTATAAATCTTGCTGTAGCTCTATTATAATTATGTACTATCTGCATTCTAGTACTGCACTGTAGTTCAGTAAAAAGCAGTAAATTGGGAAATGGGCAATTAAGCTAACTAACTTGTTAATTTGTTCTGCTTCTTAACTGGGCATATAGTTAATCAAATACATGGTTGTGTTCTATAAAGTTCAAAACAATTTTCAATGTGAACAAAACCCTTCAATTTCAAATTTCAACAACATTGATTTCAGTTTACAATTTTATTTTATTTCCTCGGATAAAGATAAATATTAGCCTCAATCTAAATATATGAGCATTATAGTCTATTAACATATATATGTGCAGGGTGAGTCAAAAAAAGTGTGATTAGATGCGTCTGGTGCAAAATTGTACATTTTTTGTGGAACTCTCCTGTATGTTATATTTTTTGTACTCCAATCGCCAAAAAAAAAAATCCGCAAAACTTTTTCTCTCTTTCAAAATCAAAAGTTCAGAAAAGCAAAAATGTGTATATACAATATTTCTGTCAAAATCTAGAATTATATTATAATTGAATTACAGAATCAGAATTTTCTCATAACAATTTGCAAATTTTCTGTGATTCTGTTATTTAATATTTACAAAATTTTAGAATTTGATAGAAATGGTATATGTACACTTTTATACTGTTCTGAACTTTAGATTTTTAAAGAGAAAAAAGTTTTGCGGATTTTTTTTGGGCCATTGGAGTACAAAAAAAAGAAATCTAAAAAATATTGAAAAAATAACATACAGGAGAGTTCCAAGAAAAAGTACAATTTTGCACCAGACGCCGCTAATCACAACTTTTTTTTTTGACTCACCCTGTATACAGAAGTAATCTCTGTTTATTTCATGTCCGATCATAACTCAGGAACCTCTTTTTGCTTCAAATTATGATTGAAGAACGCAGTAGAACCACGGGAATTGCCTTTTTTTTTGATTTAGAAGGTTTCATTTAAATAGATTCACTCAATTAGAACATATTGCTTCAAGGCAAAGCTATGGTTCCAAGCTAGTATATAAAAAGGGATTTAGATGCAGCGCCTTTTTAATTGTTATTTAATTATCTTCTTTGAAATAATAAGTAGCACTATACCTTTTAAAAAAATTGTGCGCGAAGCGACAAAAATATTTTGAGGATTTATAATGTTGCTGAGTTTAGGATTCAGTGAGAAAATAAATCATNAATGATAATGATAATGATAATGATAATGATAATGATAATGATAATGATAATGATAATGATAATGATAATGATAATGATAATGATAATGATAATGATAATGATAATGATAATGATAATGATAATGATAATGATAATGATAATGATAATGATAATGATAATGATAATGATAATGATAATGATAATGATAATGATAATGATAATGATAATGATAATGATAATGATAATGATAATGATAATGATAATGATAATGATAATGATAATGATAATGATAATGATAATGATAATGATAATGATAATGATAATGATAATGATAATGATATTGATATTGATATTGATATTGATATTGATAAAAACCAACAATAATAACAATTACCCTCTGTAAGCTCTGGTCGAAGGGATTTCAAGGTTTCTCGCTCTTTTTGCAGGGCCTGTTCCATTAGAAGATTATTTTAATTTTAAATCTTGAAATTTTAAAGAAATTTTAAGAAATCTGATATGAGCTCGCAAATTCTAAAAATGTTTATAATAAAATAGTTTTAAAAATCTAGAATTTAAATTAAAATCTTAATTTTGATTGAGCTGTTTCTCAAAACTCAAGTTTTGCGGAGTTTCTGAAAAATTCAATATGGGAAATTATCGTTTCTTAGAATTTAAAACTTATTTAGACAGTTTTTTTTTCTTCAAATGTTAGTTTAACTTTCATCTTAAAATGAACCGGTTGCGCTAAGATTCATATTAACTCTATAACAACCAAAAGTTAATCAATTAATGAATTTATCATAACAACAATAATAATCAAATTAATAGACTCATGATTAATCATTTAAACCATCCTTTTTTGCAGTCTGATAATGTAACCATTTGTTATGTTTAACTTTAACTGTTTGATTTAGTTATAAAACAATGCATTACTTGAAATATCGGAGGTCTAAAACATTCGGTTGCAAAGATATAGGGATAAGTAAATTAGAGTTATTGCGAGTTATTAGTTTCTTTAAAAAATGGATAAAATTATTGATCTAAATCTTCAATCCTTAATTTGTTCTTGGAGCGAAGTTATCACTTCTCTGCACGCAGAAGAATCATCTTGACTAGCCTAAAATAGAAAGTATTTACAATATGTTACAGTTTAAAGATATTTTTAAAACTCGCCAAAAATAATAAAATCAACTAATTAAGACCAATATTGACATTTTGTTCATTTTTTTCATCTTTCAAAGATATTTTTGAACTTTTTTGAATAATTGATAAACCAAGAGAGTTGCTATCTGAGAGTTTGTAATAAGAGGTCACAAAGTCGCACGGGTAACTCTGTTTGAGAGTTACGAGAACATTCTTGTACAAATATTTGGAATCCTTAATAAAACTTAAATATATATAGGTTTTTTAAAAACATTTATTTTTAAATTTAAATATTAACAATTTTATCAAATAAAATAGATAATTGTAGACACAATTTAATATAGGTTTAAAAGTGGTTAATTCCAATATGTTTTCCTCAATTTAAATTGTGCAAGACACTTCTGTAGAGAACTCACAATTGAAAAATATCTGTTATCAAAATAAAAACATTATTGATATGTTATTCATACTTGATCACACAAGGCTTTCAAGAATACCGTTGTAAATCGGGCATGGCCATCTTTTCATGGAGGGTTAGTTGCAAATCTCAAATATTAAAATAAATTAAATAACCTGTAAATCATCTCGGAGGGATTCTACTTCGCGAGAATATTCTTCAAGCTTCCTAAACAGTAATCATTTAAATAAAATGATTATTTATAAAATTTGTTGATCCAGATATTTTCAACATTAAAGTCGACCATCTTGTTTTGGCTCTAATGTCAACAATCTTATTTTTTTGTAAAATAATTTCCACTGACAAACTGTCAAATTGATTGAACAAAATTTTTCCAAAATTTGAAATTTTTCTTGAATAAACAATTAAACAAAATAATCTAGTTGAAAGAATCTTTATACAATTTATTTTTTACCTAAAAGGTACAATTGGTCTTGAGCTCAGAGGAGGTCTTTTATCCCGCAGAGACTTTCGTATTTTACTGAGAGCCTGGAATCCTAAAACAGGACTGTCAGGACAATCAATTAAATCAAAGGGGTACATTTTCTAAACTTTAACGCCTTCCCTAGCATCACATTTAAAATAAAATCAAATAGAAGCTTGTAGAGTAAAAGATCCAGCCCCCCCATTAAATAAATAAATGAATAAATTGAACAAAATCACTTTTTTAAACGAAATTTTTATCCCCTAATGAAATAAAATTGAATACCAACTTTAATACAATACAATACAATGTAACAATACAATATACAATACAATACAATACAATACAATACAATACAATACAACGCAATACAATGAATACAATAGAATACAATACGATAAAGTAAAATAGAATCTATATTAGAGTATTAAATACACTATAAAAGGTATAATGCCGTAATCAACAATATTAAATATTGAATAGGAGAAAGGAATATATTTGTGGGTAAAGTACTTATGCACGTACAGTGCTCCCTGAAATCAAGAGAAAAACAAGTACAAAGGAAGTGAGTTTTTACCACAAACTCAAATTTGCTAATCCCATTATCTAGCAATACACCCTCACATTTCAAATTTACAATTGTTCGATCTAACAAAAGATTCAAATATCTAGTCATTGGGTTACGAAGATATAGGGACTAGAAAATCAGAGTATGTGGCAAAGACAATTCCTATAGTAAAACAAGCGAAGAAGAAATTTTACATGATGGTGTTTGATTCCAAAATAAGCTTTTTGATAAAAAACAATAACGATATGAAGCTTAAATATTTTAGTTGTATTACTACTGTACTACCCCCAATACCCCCTCCCCCTCCCACCCCTCAATTTTTACTGTACAATTATGCGACACAGACAAAAAAGTACAGAAGACGAAAAATATACTTTTTCCAAAACATAATCAAATTATATTTTTACACATCAAGAATTTTTCTTGTTTTTCCTCGAGGAATTTAAGAAGCAAAGAACAGACGAAGTTTTTATAATTTTTCCCCCAAGATCTACAGAGACAAATTATTAAAAATTTCAGCAAAAAAAATCAAAATCTTGCTTTTAAACCGTGAAATTGAAGAAAAAAAAGCCTGAGAATTCATTAAAGGAAAAAAATCAACACCTTGCATGTAAACCGTGAAATTGAAGAAAAAAAAGCCTGAGAATTCATTAAAGGAAAAAAATCAACACCTTGCATGTAAACCGTGAAATTGAAGAAACAAAAAGCCTGTTAATTCATTAAAGGAAAAAAATCAAAACCTTGCATTTAAACCGTGAAATTGAAGAAAAAAGTCCGAAAATTCATTAATTTTTATCTGTTTAAAGAAACTAATCTTAATCTCAAGTGACCCTCCATGCCCATGTAAACCTCTTTAACCCTTTAACTGGTTAATAATATGGAATGAAAGATATTGATGTTTTTCTAGTTTATTAATTCTACGTTTATTATTTTGAAGTCACTTTTTTTAGAGAAACCACAATTATTAGATCATATTATAAAGATTTATTCACACACAAAGATATAAATACATATATAAATGGTGTAGTTTAAATTTGTTTAAATAATTTTTGAAAATACAGGTTTCCAAAAGAAAAGAGAAAAATATGCAAAATTACGCACAAATAGACAATATTAGATTTTTTTAAAATTATAAACATTGATACATATTTACGTAAATATGGAAAATTATTTTTATCATGAACAAGAATTTACTTCAAGAAGAACACTGATAGAAACTCATGACAATTTGAAAATACAAAATTGTACTGCCAAAACATTAACGATTTTCTTGCGAGTTTTTGTGGGTAACCCTGTATCTTGGTAGCTATACAGTAAGAACCAAAAAGCTCTGGAATAGAAATACGACATTTAGCTATAAATAGTAACAAATACAATTTTGAAGTGTGCTTTGTATCAAAATAAAATCAAGATTTATCAAATCAAAAATATTCATAAAGTTATTCTAAATTATTATCAAAAAATTTACTACTCCTCTTGATTCAGCATAATACACGCATCTCCAGGATAGTTGTTGACTAAATCCATCAAGTGTTGAGCTCCAGGTAGGTTTTCCATAACATCTCCTAGTCTATGCGTAACACGAGTTATCCAGAGGCCGAATTTAAAGAATTTGAGCGGCGGCTTAAATTTAAGCCGCCGCTCAAATATATTTGGTTTCACTTAAAATTGTATACAATGTTTCAAGATTTAAGCCGGCGCTTTATTAAAACCGGTTTTTGGCGGATTTTAGACCCGGCTCAAAATAATTAAATTCGGACACTGCAGTTCAAGCAGAAAAGTCTTGCCACGTCTTTACTCATACCAAACCTTTCGGAGCTTAGAAGCTCCGGATCTGAACCAATCTGAACACTGGACAATATTAATCTTCTGTGTCCTGCTCGTAGCTCTAAAATAACTTCCACGGTTTGAGATTCAGAATTCTCGTAAAGTTCGTCTCTGATATGCTTCTCCAAACTGTATCCAACACAACAGCTCCGATGTAGAAGTTAAAAGCAGACTGTAGTTTATTAATACTCATTCTCAACAATGGAAAGATAAGAATATTTTTTCAATAATTTGCGTTAAACTCTTAAGAGCTAAAGCACATAAGAAATTTTAATTCAAAAGATTATTTAACAATAAAAATAAATTAAGAATCTAGATATGCAGTTTAGTTTGTAAAAATTCTTTCCAGGATCTTCTAATAAGAAACATATTATGCATAAAATGAAAAAGAAGTCATGGAACATTATAATCTTTATTAGTCTTTATGTTGCAACATCTAATAATAGTCATGAAAGTTGGGGACAGTCGACACTTGATGTAAGTAAGTTTTCAGATTAGGTTTTCCTTTAATTTTCTTCTATTTGTTCCCAGGAACAGTGAAGATGAGCCCCAAGGGACAAACATCATAAACACATTTCTAAAATTGCACTTCAAGTTCTTATTAAACTAAAGTCTCTCAAAGGAACAAAAATGATAATAATAAAAAAAATAATCTGATTTAAGTCCTATGTTATGCTATGTTATGCTATGTTATTATAATATCGTTTAAGAATTTCAGTTTAGTAGAGGTAGAAACATTTATGTTGAGAACCTCAGGATCAAGCAATGATCTCGATTCTATGCAAACCTACGAATCAACTTAATTCTTCTATGATATCCCGTTGATAATATAATTTAAATAGTATTTATGTCAAAATTGTATTTTTACAGCCACTACATGAATATTTCATGATTCAAAATTGAGCAGAGGATTTTTATAATAATAATAATGTTTTAAAAGTTTTCAAGATTTTTCATTTCTGACTTTTTTATGACATATGAAGAATTTTTAATGGCGCTATAGAATTATGACTTTTATGACTCTAAAAATTGAAAAAAAAACCAGAAAAAGATATGCGTTAAAGGAAATTAAAATCTTACTGTGTAATCTTATGGTTTGAAATTTATATCTTGGACAGGATTTTTTTTCTAAAAAGAACTAAACGGTGTTCCTAGAAAGCTATTATTCATAGCAGACATATTTGTTTTATGGTTGTTAACTAATGAAAATAAATCGTAAGTTTCTTGCTCCTAGTATCCAGTAAGAATTAAACATTGTTCTCTCGTTGAGACAGAATAAAGCATGCAATCCCTCAAAAACCGGTTCCAATTAAGCGCCGGCATAAATCTTGAAAAATTTAAAACAATTTTAAATGGAACCAATCATAATTGAGCCGCGGCTTAAATTTTAGCCGCAGCTTAAATTCTATAAATTCGGCCTAGGACAAAATTCCTATTTTTCTGGTCTATAATTAGGTTTTCGGCAATCGTCTTAGTTTGCAAGTTCCGAATACAAAAAATAATGAATTTCAGAATAGTGTAAATATTCTGTTTAGAATTAAAAGTTGGCTGAGAAGTTTTCCCATCTGAAGGATAATTTATTAAACTGAATTAACAAACTTTGTTCTTCTTAATTTAGAGCACGCGTTTTCATGGAAATCATTGAAAATCTTAAAAAACATTTTTTTATTCTGCAAAATGCAGAAGACTATAAAAGATAGAAATAAATGAGAAAGTTTCAAAATGTTATTTTTTAACAACTTATTTTAGCATTTTAAAGAAAAGTCAAATATTTGCCTTCAAAATATATACAACAACGCTTTATGCGCTCGATAAAAGTTTCTAAATTTAATAAATTTAACTTTATATCACAGAAGTTAATCAACTTAGTTTGATAAACCAGTTTAAATGCATCATAATATTCTTTATTACACTTAAAAACAAAATCCAATTATAAATAAATCCTAAATCTTAAAAAAATAAACAGAAATATAAATAAATTTTCGTGGATTAAGTACTAGAAATTTCAGAGTACTAGAGAATTTCAGTTGAGTATTTTACATATGTTGCCAGCAGTTTAGGCTTTATTTTGGCGATTTTTTTTCGCATGACAAAATGCATATGCAAGAATTTATTTTTGTGACAGTTAATGAGACATTTTCTAATCTACTACTTATGAAAGCAAACTGTGGTTACCAAAAAAAGTGGAGAAACATTTATAAAATATCTCTAATAATCCTTGAACATATTACCAATATTGGGAAAATAAACATTAAAGGTTTAACTGAGGAAATATATTTACAGTAGTAGATGTGTTTTCACAGTCTAGTAATAAGTATTCCTAAAGGAGTATTCTCTACACTGTCTAGTACTTAGTATTATTAAAGGAATATTCTCTACACTGTCTAGTAATTAGTATTCCTAAAGGAATATTCTCTACACTGTCTAGGAATATTCTCTACACTGTCTGGTAATTAGTATTCCTAAAGGAGTATTCTCTACACTGTCTAGTAATTAGTATTTCTAAAGGAGTATTCTCTACACTGTCTAGTAATTAGTATTTCTAAAGGAGTATTCTCTACGCTGTCTAGTAATTAGTATTTCTAAAAGAGTATTCTCTACACTGTCTAGTAATTAGTATTTCTAAAAGAGTATTCTCTACACTGTCTAGTAATTAGTATTCCTAAAGGAGTATTCTCTACACTGTCTAGTAATTAGTATTTCTAAAAGAGTATTCTCTACACTGTCTAGTAATTAGTATTCCTAAAGGAGTATTCTCTACACTGTCTAGTAATTAGTATTTCTAAAGGAGTATTCTCTACACTGTCTAGTAATTAGTATTTCTAAAGGAGTATTCTCTACACTGTCTAGTAATTAGTATATCTAAAGGAGTATTCTCTACACTGTCTAGTAATTAGTATTTCTAAAGGAGTATTCTCTACACTGTCTAGTAATTAGTATTTCTAAAGGAGTATTCTCTACACTGTCTAGTAATTAGTATTTCTAAAGGAGTATTCTCTACAAGTTTCTAATTTGATAAAACAAGAGTTTATAAAGTAAAAATCTATGCTTGTCTGCTTGTTTGTATGTACGATCATATCTCAGGTGCCCATTATACGGTTTTTTCCTTCTTCAAATTTTGATTGGAGAACCGTAGAACCACAGAAATGTTCTTCGATTGGTTAAAAGATTCTAAGTTTTGTGGATGGACGTTTATAGGGAAACTTAGATTCTAGGCAAAGCTGAGTTCCTAATTTCTAGTATTACACAATACATGTTATATCGTTCTTATGTTTTATCTTCTCCCCCTCTCTCTATTGTTTCTTGTAAAACGGAATATTTAAAAATAATCTAAGTGTGCACGAAGCGTAAAATGTATTTACTGACTAATGCCGAACACAGGGCGTCCCACAAAACATGACAGTCGTCTTTGATCAGTGAAATTTGCGGCATTTTTTCTTATTTCAGACGTATAATTCTGAAGTTAATTATCAGAAAATAACCCTAGTCCTGACATTATAAAAATGAACTGTAGTAAAAAAATAACAACATATTTTTGAGAAAAAAGTTCAATTTTAGATAAATAGGTTGATAGCACCAAAAAAGAAAATCTTCAGGGCTGAAGCATATTTTATGTTCAGGGACGCATAAGGAATCATTAATTATTTTTGTGGTGAGGGGTGAAAGCATAATAAAATTTCTAAAACTGAGAAAATGTACTCAAACTTTTTGTGTCACACTGAACTGTTGTTTTAAAAGTAATGAGGTTGGTTGAGTACAAACATATGTTGCACAGTAAGCAACAGGTTTGTTTTCGTAGTGAACTAACTGTACAATTAGTTTATAACAGTTGTACTGTACACTGACCAATTCATAAAAAAATCGATTAACTCACCAAAAAAAAACAATTTTGAAATTTTCTATTTGTTCTTCATGATCTTGTTTATATAAAGAACTAGAAGTAGAACTATGGAAGATAAAAATCAACTATTATCAGCTGATTTGCTCTCTTCCTTCCACACACACATACAACCTCGGACTTGTGTACTTAATCCTATACTTAATCCTATACTTAATCCTATACTTAATCCTGTACTTAATCCTGTACTTAATCCTATACTTAATCCTGTACTTAATCCTATACTTAATCCTATACTTAATCCTATACTCAATCCTATACTTAATCCTGTATTTAATCCTATACTTAATCCTATACTTAATCCTATACTCAACCAGGAATATTAATATCACTTTTAATTGGTAACCCAGCTTTTACTGGAACTACATAATTCAGAAGTTTAATACCAAGCTACGAACATTTCAGTGGTTCTATTAAGTTTCCCAATCAAAATTTGAGGCAAATCCGTCAGAAGAGTTTCTGAGTTATGATCACTAGGTGGAGGAGACCAAGGATCTACTCCTGGAGGGGAAGGAGTTCTATCACTGGAACTCCTAAAACAATAAAAAATGTTAATCTTGTAAACATTAATCTGATTTTATCAGAAGTCAAAACTTTGCATTCTTCATCTCAGGATTAAGCAGTAGTCCCTGTAATATTGTTTAAAGGATTAAATTAATTCCTCTTGATAATCCCATGGTTGGAACCGGAACCAATGGCATGGATAAAACTGAAAGATCAAGCGTAGTATCCGTAAATTCAAAAGTTGCCACCGTGTTGTAAATTTGCGCTATTTCACACAAAAGTTTTCACATCAAATTTAGAAAAATATTTTCTGTCTTCTTGAATCTTTTCAAATCTTTTTAAAATCTTTCTGCTGGGAAAAATTGTCAGAACTTAATTAATCAAATAAATTGGAAATAATCTAATTAAAAAATGTTTCTAAGAACACACTGAGGTTTTTTCATACTGTAAACACCTTTGATAAATAACTTTTTCTTTCAAAACTACGTGTACTTTTCAAAATGTCTAGAATTTTAGTTCTTGGATGAAATAGATGATTTTGTAGAGGACATTAAATTACGCATTTTACGCATCAAAAGGTAGAAAGCAACTCTTGCCCTTATTTTTCAAATCTTGTAGAAAATGTTTTAAAATTTGAATTTAGAAATGGGTTGGAAGTGTTTGAACTATGAAGAAAAACAAGATAAAGGAAGACTTAATATAAATACATATCACACCACTCAAAATTGTGAGTCCCTATATCTCTGCAATGAGATTCCTTTTCCAAACTTAACTATTTTATCTAACAGAATTCATAAAAAAGTCTATCAACATTAGATTGAAAAGATCGAACGATTAGAAATTACACTTCAATTATACTTCCCATTTTCCTTCCAATTTTCCTTCCATTTTTTCCTTCCAATTTTCCCTTCCAATTTTTCCTTCCAATTTTCCTTCCCATTTTCCTTTCAATTTTCCTTCCAATTTTTCCTTCCAATTTTCCTTCCAATTTTCCTTCCAATTTTCCTTCCCATTTTCCTTCCAATTTTCCTTTCAATTTTTCCTTCCAATTTTTCCTTCCAATTTTCCTTTCAATTTTCCTTCCCATTTTCCTTTCAATTTTCCTTTCAATTTTCCTTCCAATTTTCTTCAAATTTTTCCAATTTGTCTTCCAATTTGTCTTCTCATTTTTCTTCTCATTTTTCTTCCAATTTGTCTTCCCATTTTTCTTCCAATTTTCCCTCCAATTGTTCATACCATTTTCTTTCTCCAATTTGTCTTCCAATTTTCCTTCCAATTTCCCTTTCAATTTTCCCTCCAATTCTCCCCTCCCCCATTCTTCTCATCATGACTGCCTCCAATTTTTTTACTTTTCCTGACTACTTCCATTATATTTTTACTCTATTAATCATCATCTTATAGATGGGGGATTAAGCGGCTTCAAATGGTAAAATGGAAAATAAATATGGCAGTGCTTAGGATCCGGATTTGTTTGATCCACAACATTTTGGCTTCCTAGATACGGATTTGGATCCGCGGATCCGGATCCAAGGGGCTAAACACCAATGTTTAAAATATTTTTTTTTACTCGTGGCGGATCAAGGATTCTAAGCACTGAAATATTAATATGAAAATGTGAATTTCTAGGAAAAAAACTTTAAAATCACAAATGTGAGCTTTCTCAAAATGCATTCAAGTTTTTGATAGTTTTGCTATAAGTCAATAAAATTCAATTTCAATCTTCTTCTTTACATAAAATAAAATGTTAGAAAATGTTAGAATTTTTTTTGATTTAATTTTACTATTTAATGATTCGTGTACCTAGCTTAAAACTGCTAAATGGCTAAATGAACTTGAAAATATCGAAAATGGATCTTCTATGAATCCCTAGGGACATAAAAATCAACAACTAACCTGACCAACTTGAAGCTAGGTTTGCGAGCAAAGTTAGGGAAGAAAGATTTTTTCGCGCAATAGTCCGCCGACTTAGGAGAATTGAATTCTAGAGGTCGTTCCATGGTTGCCAGAATATCCCTGAAGGGGGAACTATCCTTGCTCTCATCAGGGGTTGGTTTCTCTTTCAACAGTCCGATCTAGATGGGAATCAATTTTTTCTAATCCCTTTATCTTTGCAACCTGATGGTGTAGATATGTAAAACTTCAGTTATTTGATCTAATAAATTTCAAATTTTTAAATATCAAAGGTCTCTGTCGTTGGGTCGCAAAGATATAGATTAGAGAATCAGAGTTTGTAATTCTTTATAAAAATTAAGATTAAGCAAGAAAATAATTACTTGCAAAGCTCTAATTTCCAATCCCTGTTTAAAATCTTAGAAATTGGTGTAGATAAATCGTTGATATTCTAAAATTTTGGCTTTTAGATCTAACAGAACTCCTAGTTAGCCTACACCCTCAGATTACAAAGAACAACAACAATCATAGCTTATTTTTTATATATGCCTACACCCTCAGATTACAAAAAACAACAACAATCATAGCTTATTTTTTATAATGCCTATAACAGTTCCTTTATTTGAACACNAACATTATTGTAAAAATGTTCAAGGTTCTATGGATTTAATTAAAGAAAACATTATTGTAAAAATGTTCAAGGTTCTATGGATTTAATTAAAGAAAACAAAATTGTAAAAATCTTCAAGGTTCTGTGGATTCAGTTAAAGAAAAAAATTGTAAAAATGTTCAAGGTTCTAAGGATTCAATTAAAGAAAACAAAATTGTAAAAATGTTTAAGGTTCTATGGATTTAATTAAAGAAAACAAAATTGTAAAAAGAAAACAATAAATAAACTAATGTTTTCTTTTACTAATTCAGTCTGAAAAGAACTGAAACGCCTCCCGAACCGGCGGATAACGGAGACAAACTTCACCGCCGAGAAACCAAGATGTCTCAAGATATGGGGACAACGAAGAGACTGAAATCTAATCTCTCTTCAATAACCTATTTTATGTATCCTCGATATTAACGAGGAACCATCAATGTTCCGCGTTAGTATATTTCTTAATTACAACGTTCCTTCCTTTACCATGTTTATGTAGCTTCAAGACTACCGAGTTAAAATAATATGTAGCCTTGATATCAACGAAGAACCATCAATGTTCCTCGTTGGTATAATTCTCAATTTGTATGCTTTTACATAGTCTATGTAGCCTCAATAACAATTTTTCCTTAAAAATGTATCCGTAAATTGATTCCTTCATAATTTTCTCAAAATATATGTAAACAATTTTGTACAATTTATATAATCTCGATACGGAGATTATAAATATCTAGATCTCAAAAAAAGATTTAATTAAAGAAAACATTATTGTAATAAAGTTCAAGGTTCTATGGATTTAATTAAAGAAAACAAATTTGTAAAAAAAAATACTTGATCCAATTTTTCTCCCAAACTTGAAAATAGAATTTCTTGGTACAATATCTTAAATCTATTTCTTGGTACAATATATACCTAGCTTAAAACTGNTTAAATCTATTTCTTGGTACAATATCTTAAATCTATTTCTTGGTACAATATATTAAATCTATTTCAAGAAGCTTGAAACTAAAAAAAAATCTTACATCTGAGAAAAATAAACAAGATCTTATTTCAAAAAATGTTTTTTTTTTATCTTTTCAATATTTAATTATGGATTTATGTGAAAGCTGAGTGGTAGCTTTAATATCTTTCTTGATATGCATTGCAAGGCATTCTTTCTTAATAATGTAGTTTTGGGATTTATAAATGGTAGTCTGTTGTAAGCATACCAGGAATTTTGTTTAAATTTTATTTTTATTTTAACTTAAACAGAGCCAAAATTGTCTAATCTTCATATTTGAAGTAACCCTCCATGAAGATGGTAATTCCCGATTCACAACGGTACCCTTGAAACCTTGGTTAATAATGTGGAAGATGTTTTCTAGGCTTAAATTGACTACTTATAAATGTTTTCCTGCAGCAGTAAAATGTACGTGCCATTTATGCTTTTGTAGAGATTGAAAACAAATCAGTTAAAAAAATATCTAAAACATTGATAACTAATTCTTACTTAGTCAGACAAAACTTGGGGTACCGTTGTGAATCGGGAATTGCAATCTTTTCGTGGAGGGTCCCTTGAAATACAATTACAGTACCTTTGTTACGAAAGCTAAAAACAGTAGTTTTGTTTGTAAAATCGAAATTATCAAAAGTATTTCTAAATTAAGCACAGAATATTAAGAGCATAAGAATTAATTCCAAACATTATGTTCCTCAGTTTGAAATTTATAAATTAAAGGGGGTGTACGCGAAAAATGAAAGGGGGCATAAGCTGATCTTGAATTGAATTTGGGTTTGATTGCTACAATATTCACTTCTATCTGTTGAATCTAAATAGAGAAATGGTTAAAAACGAGTCATACCTATTCCTTTTTCGCGAACACTCCCTTTAAGAATACTATTTTAGTGTTTTCTAACAGTGTGGCCCTATACGTCATGCTAAATGTTTTCTTGACTGAGTATTATGCAATTATCAACACAGAGGTTTCGTGTCCCAAAAGCATCAGACATAGTTCAAATTTAAGTGGATTGAAAATCGAATTTTTTTTTAGGCTTTTTAGAGTTTTGTGACCTTTTAGATTTCTTACATAAGGGTCCCCCCAAAAAGGAAAAGACGACTGTGCGGTATTTATACCGTCTGTTTTCTTTCAATCGTGATTCCCTGCAACTGTGAACTGGTTTCTTTCTTTAACCGAATCATTTAATATGCCAATTAAAGATAGTAATCAAAGCATGAATTAACCTTGAAATCGTCTTAAATTAACAAATAAATAAATAGATAGTTTATTTTGAAAAAAATCTTAAGGTTGACATTTCAATTTTAAGAGTTTTAAGTCGTCTTTACAGTCTCATCCTTTGTGGTTAACCCTGTACATTACAGGAGGTCCAAATAAGCAAAAACATTATTGAATCTTGTAATTAACTAAAGAATGTTGTGTACAAAAATGTTTAGTGATAAATTAACCTAATTATGAAAAGTAATGTCTAGCTAGAGTGTCCATTGTTACCCAGATTTATAATATTATTAATAGTTATACTCTCGACGTTTACCCCCGCTTAATAAGTAAATCATATATTTTCGGGAATTTAAAAAAAATTTGTCTGTGCCACCCTAAGGGTACCCTAAAAAATGTCGAACATATATGAGCGAAAGATAAAACTTACTGATGCTCTCGCCATGAGTCTATTGTTTGAACCGCCAGCTTGTGTAAACTCCCGTCGACATCTCTGAAGCTGTTGTAACCAATATTGCCTGTAATAATTGCATTAATTTAAACCTGTTCTTAAACAGTTTTTGGTCCGATCGGTTTAACAGTTTATCGGAAACAGGTAATCACTTATGCAAAGCTAAAAGCGTAAATGTTCTGAAAATGAATCAGTTTTTAATTGTATAAGAAATATTCAGAATAGGTTATTGTATACGCGGTAATTGTACATCAGACAAATATTTCTTATTCGAATGGTAGGGCGAACCGCGTCAGTTTTATCTCCCTTCTATTCCTTACTCCCTGGCCATGATATAAGATTGCTTATATGTTGTCTTCCTATTCCACAGTTTTTTGGCTCTAAATGTGGGACATGTTTAACCGAGGAAACATCTTTCAGGGATTATTTGGTGAAGGAAACGTTTTTATGAGAACAGTTTTGTAAAATCTCCGCTTGTCATGTTTTTTACCTGTTTTCTGCACTGCCTACATCTAATGTGAAATCTCCGTCTTTGGTGCTGAAAAATAAAAATAATTTTATTTCTTTTTCATGAAAAGAATAACTCTACCAAACCAGACATTTATTGAGATTTTAAGTGATAATAAATATTACCCAAATTTTTTAAATAAAAAAACACATCAGAGCCCTTTTTCCTCTTGAAAATGTCCTTGACGGGAAGAATTCTTGAAATATTTATTTAGTGTTTAGATTAAGAAATACGAATGTTAATAAAAAAATTCTAATTTTGTTATTAATTCCTGCTTTGTCAAGATTTATATAAATATATTATTATTATATTATTAGTACATATAATGTAAATGCTATGACATAGTTTTATATAATAGAGCTCACAAGTCAGTATTTAGTTGTTCAAATACAAAATATTTTACAGACTGTAATCAGAAATGTTTAACCAATTTAAAACAATTTAACAGATAAAAAGTTTACCAGTCAACCATTCGATCCTATGTATCTATCTATCTATCTATATTCCTGGTTTAACATTATTGTCTAAATTAATCCAGACTTAAAGGGGACTGTTTTTTATCCTTAATTTGTTAATTTACATTTCCGGTTTCTCTGCAAAAGTGACTTCCGCATTCCTTGCTTTTAAGAAGCAATGGAGAAACTTTTAGAAATGAACACTTTTCCTAGTCAGAATTTTTGCATTTCTTATTTCTTTAGAAAGCAATAATCTTTCGTAGTCCAAAGGAGTAATTTGTGTCTAGGGTATCTCTAAAAATATCTGCTTTGTTTTAAAGCAAAACAACATCTTTGTCACGATCCGTAAGAACTAGTTCTAATACTGATTTAGTATGTCACTTCAGTTTTCTACACGGTTAGTAGGATATCCCTGATATTCTGATTTGATTTGATATATAGAGTATCGTGAAAATACCAGTCAGCTGTTTTCACGGATTAAGCTCTTAATTCGTGAAAATACCAGTCAGCTGTTTTTCACGGATTAAGCTCTTAATTCGTGAAAATACCAGTCAGCTGTTTTTCACGGATTAAGCTCTTAATACGTGAAAATACCAGTCAGCTGTTTTCACGGATTAAGCTCTTAATTCGTGAAAAACAGGTGACTGGTATTGAAAGTTTTCGCAGTAGAAAAGATTTTTCTAAAAGGTATAGAGTTAGATTGTCTGAATGATTGTATACTGAATGGGAAGGAAGTTATAAAATAAATAAATGGAATATTAAAAGAATTATATGAGTAAGTAAAATGTTACTGGTACAGCACACCATATATCTCAGCTATGATCTAGGTTTTGATAAATGAAACAACTGAGCAGCTAGAAGTCCTCAACAAATTATGATTTTTCCTAAAAATCGTACAAAAATTCTTTAATCAAACGCCTTTTTTAAGTCTAGCATGAATGAAATTTTCTAAAAAAGTGCTAATTCTTTACTTATTCTACTTTTATAATCTTTAATAAACTCCAGTGTTTGTTTTTAAAACTTCATCTCATAGCTGTGGTGAAAAGTGAGTAAGGGTAAAAGGTTCACGCTATTTTCATAGCTAAAAAGAAATCATGCCATAATAAAATCATTTGAAAAAAAAATACACCTCCTGGGAGGGTGATAATTTTAAGAAAATATTTTTGAACAATTTAATTTCACATTTAAATTTTTTAACAAAACTTAAAAAGAGCAGTGAATTTTTTTCTCCGAAAGTTGTATCTTCTTTTTCTCTCTCAGATCTACGCATTCTAGTCTCTTGTAGGCAAGGGAAAAATGCATTTTGACACATATTTCTGATTCATACAATTCTTTAATTAGATATCTTGGCTGTATTTGCAGTTTTCAGTATTGTCTGGCTCAACAATTGAAGGTTAGCTTTAAACACAATTTCCTCAATATTCTTACAGGTTGGAAAAATAAAAGTCACACTGCACTAAGCAGGGTTTGAAAATTCTGAGGATATCTATTGTCAGAATTCCGCCTTAATGATGACAAATGAAATAAGAAAGGTTAGGCTAGGAGTGAAATTTGTCTACAAAAGAATTCATAATTCTTGTAAGTTCATCTCGGAAATGGTTCTTCAGATTACAGCCTCCTCTACAGCAATCTTTTCCTTGCAGCCAGCCGAGTATGAATTGGTATCTTAGTGAATTGGTGAACAACCTAACAGGATTCTACTTTCTATGTTTACCATTTTTTTGTTTCTGGCAAGAGGGAAGAAGAGAGAGAGAGAGAGAGAAACCCCTCCTTCTCTGTACTATTATTTTCTTTTTTCCAAGTAGAGTGCACTGCCATGTTATTTCACACAGGGTTCTGTTCAGCCACAAAAAATTGGAGAGAGTTGTAAAAGAACCTGACTGTTCTGAGCTTCCTTGATGCTTATAGATAGAACAAGATTCAATCGAAAGAATTACAGCTAACCAGGCTTGTCACTAAGGAGTATATTTAAATCTGCCAGTAGCAAAATCTGGATCCAGCTAGATAAAAAACCTCCATTCTCCAGGTTAATACAACCTTAAAAGATTAATGCAGAACTTCAATGTTTCTTGTAGTTCTGTTTTTTTCTTTTCCATTTGTGTGCAGCGGTGAATAAAACCCCCATATACACCCCTGGCTAAAGTTCTCTAGTTTGCCATTTTCTCTCTCTCACCCTGTATCTCTGAATACTGTAAGAAGCACCTAACAAGACCCAGTGTTACTTTTCTGAAAGCAAAGTATAAACCACTGGCCCAAGGTTTATTTTGACTTTTGTAATTTCCAATTACTTAAACCTGTAGAAATTGAGACATTTATGAGATTAAAAATCTCTGTTAACTGGAAATATTTCAACTAAAGAAACACAATTTCGGAAATTTGATTAATCTGGGAATCTTTTCAAGGAATCAAATAATATGTTTCTAACAAATTTGAAATAAAGGTTAAATTCGTTGCACCTTTCTTGGAAAAAAAGATATTTCAAAACTCAAATGTTAATTGGATTCTTTTTATTTCAAGGGTATTAATTAAAAATCCAAATGAAAATTTGTCCAAAATAGATTTTATGATTCTCAATGATAATTATGCATCAAGAACTTGTTCCCCCCCCCCTCCTCCCTAAAGAGATTTTATACATTTTTGAAATATTTTTTTTTTAGGTTTTACGGTGATTTCTCCAATATTAAATTGTCAATTTGCAACCCTATGGACGATTTTGAAATTTATTTTGATTACAATATTTTTTTTAAGTAAAAACGCAGCGACCTCCGGTGGGGTGGTTGGCTGATTTCTAAAAAAAAAGTCACAAATCAATCACCCTTAATAGAGGAGTAAAGAGTATATAGAAGTATATAGAGGAGTGTTGATGTTTATAGAGGAGTAAAGAGTATATAGAAGTATAAAGAGGAGTGTTGATGTTTATAGAGGAGTAAAGAGTATATAAAAGTATATAGAGGAGTGTTGATGTTTATAGAGGAGTATAGTGGAATATTGAGGAGTGTTGATGTTTATAGAGGAGTAAAGAGTATATAGAAGTATATAGAGGAGTGTTGATGTTTATAGAGGAGTAAAGAGTATATAGAAGTATATAGAGGAGTGTTGATGTTTATAGAGGAGTAAAGAGTATATAGAGGAGTGTTGATGTTTATAGAGGAGTAAAGAGTATTGTTAACACAAATTAGAAATATAAGGAAGACAATTTTACCGGCTCAGATACCATTGACTATTTTCAAGACGTGTGAATCTATTTCCGCTGATCCACCCACATGTCACCCTCGCTCCTTCGTTCCCTCCTCACCCCTCTACACATCCCAGCCCGGCAGTCAGATTGAAACACTGGAGATGATCACAACTCTGTCTCAGGGNATGCAGATACTCAGCTAACAGCAGGCGTGCTTATACCTCTGATCTTCTTGAGAAGCTTACTTAGGAAACATATACCCGGCTCCGACCGCAGTTTCCGCTATCTCGAGTTGCATTGCCTTAGTTCCATTGATAAGCCCTGTTGATCTGGTCCACCAACATGAAGCTCTACAACACTCCCATGAAGGGCCCACAAATATCCATCATTAATTCCTTTGTTAATTTCTAAATCAACCAATTTTAACTCCGTCTTATGCAAATATTTCAAAACTTTTGTTTTTAAATAAATGTTAGAAATATCCATTTCAGATATCTTTGTTTTATTATAGTGACTTTTTAAAGTCAACAAGTATATAGAAGTATATAGAGGAGTGTTGATGTTTATAGAGGAGTAAAGAGGAGTATAGTGGAATATATAGTTTTACTGTAATGCTGACCACACATCGCAGGAATAATAAAGAAAATCTATTTTTAAATGTCGTTTTCATATTTCTGATATTCTCTCAGCCTAGTGTTTGTTCTGTCTGGATGATGTGTTCTATTATACTCTTTCCGAGTTAAAGGGCATTAAGGAAACCAATAACTGCACCACTTAGTTATGCAAAATTGGGAGTTGTAAGCCCTAAAGCCCCATTGAGAGTAATCTTACACAGCAGTCCAGTCCTCACAGCTGGTCGAGTAAAGAGCCGGTATTGTTGTGCATGGCTTGTGTGCCCATATATTCTTTCAGTTACACCCAGGGAGTAAGGAATAGAAGGGAGATATAACTGACGCGGTTCGCCCTACCATATGATTATACATGCTTTGCAGACGGGTACTCCATTTGTATATGAAATATTCAGAATAGGTTATTGTATACGCAGTAAATGTGCATCAGACAAATATTTCTTATTCAAATGGAGTACCCGTCTGCAAAGCATGTGTAATCATATGGTAGGGCGAACCGCGTCAGTTATATCTCCATTCTATTCCTTACTCCCTGGTTACACCAGGGTGAACATGAAGTCTTGTTTCATTCTATGAACATTCCTTACTTCCCCTGTAGGATATAAGATGCGCAACTAAAAGAGGAGTAGAGAGGAGTAAAGAGGACTAAAGAGGAGTAAAGAGGACTAAAGAGGACTAAAGAGGACTAAAGAGGACTAAAGAGGACTAAAGAGGAGTATAGAGGACTTTGAGAAGTACAGCGGAGTGATGATAATTTTGTAGTGTGCAATAAAACCTTGTGTTCTAAGATTGAATGGTTCAGTTCGACTGAAAGGATAAATCAGCCTCCATCCATCTATCCATCTAGTTACCTATCTATCTATCTAGTTTCAATCTATCTATCCATCTAGTTTCTATCTATGTATCCATCTAGTTTCTATCTATCTATATCCATCTAGTTTCTTTCTATCTACCATTTAGTTACCGATCTTTTCATCTAATTAAATTTTTATCCATAAAGTTATCTATCTATGCATCTAGTTACCTATCTTTACATCTAGTTTCTATCTATCTATCCATCTTGTTTCTATCTATCCATCTTGTTTCTATCTATCTATCCATCTAGTTTCCTATCTATCCATCTAGTTTCCTATCTTGCCATCTTGTTTCTATCTATCCATCTTGTTTCTATCTATCTATCCATCTAGTTACCTATCTATCCCATCTTGTTTCTATCTATCCATCTTGTTTCTATCTATCTATCCATCTAGTTTCCTATCTATCCATCTAGTTACCTATCTATCCATCTTGTTTCTATCTATCTATCCATCTTGTTTCTATCTATCTATCCATATAGTTACCTATCTATCCATCTTGCTTCTATCTATCTATCAATATCTCTTCATATAGTTAGTTACCTATCTATCCATCTAGATTCTATCTATCCATCTAGATTCTATCTATCCATCTTGTTTCTATCTATCTATCTAGTTACCTATCTATCCATCTAGTTACCTATCTATCCATCTAGTTACCTATCTATTCATCTATTTACCTATGTATATTCATCTTGTTACCTATGTATATTCATATAGTTACCTATCTATCCATCTAGTTACCTATCTATCCATCTAGTTACCTATCTATTCAAATAGTTACCTATGTATATTTATCTAGATACCTATGTATATTCATCTAGTTACCTATCTATCCATCTAGTTACCTATTTATCCATCTAGTTACCTATCTATTCATCTAGTTACCTATCTATCCATCCAGTTACCTATCTATTCATCTATTTACCTATGTATATTCATCTTGTTCCCTATGTATATTCATATAGTTACCTATCTATCCATCTAGTTACATATCTATCCATCTAGTTACCTATCTATTCAACTAGTTACCTATGTATATTTATCTAGTTACCTATGTATATTCATCTAGTTACCTATCTATCCATCTAGTTACCTATCTATCCATCTAGTTACCTATGTATCCATCTAGTTACCTATCTATTCAACTAGTTACCTATGTATATTTATCTAGTTACCTATGTATATTCATCTAGTTACCTATCTATCCATCTAGTTACCTATTTATCCATCTAGTTACCTATCTATTCATCTAGTTACCTATGTATATTCATCTAGTTACCTATCTTAGCATCTAGCTTCTATCTATCTATCCATCTAGTTACCTATCTACTTATCTAATTGACTATTTATCCATTTAGTTACCTATCTTATCATCTAATTACATAACTATCCATCTATCCATCTATCAAACGATCCCTCTATTCATCTATCCATCAATCCTTTGTTTATCATCTATTCAATTTATTTGTTTCTATTCTTCTCTCTATTGATTTAAAAGTTTATAATATTTATAAACTTTTTGAAATATTGCCTAATGCACCCTGTTTGGTATATTTTTCTTTTCACAAAAATATTGTTAATTTTTCCAACTAATTTTCCATTCATAATGGAATTGTTTTCGATTTAATACAGAGCTTATATTTGAAATATAGTTGAACTAGAAATATTTAAGAGAAAAATAAATTTAAAGACTTTTGGGATTTGAACCCGCGAATAAGTACAAAAACTCACAAATTGCAAGCTTTGAATATTGCTTTTAACTGAAGTATTGTATTTTATGCATTAGATTGAAGAAAATTCTTCCAGGAAATGTTTCATTTTCTTGTGAATTTATAAAAATGAATATCTAAATCATACTTGATCAGAAATAGATTTTTAAGGGTATGTTTGTAAATCGGACATTGCCATCTTTGCATTGAGGGTTACTTGAAATTACGCTTTCAGTCCCTTTAAGTAAGGTAAGAATTTTTGTTATACCCTTTTAAATTGCTTGTGAATATAAATGTTTGATCAATATTGCTTGATGCGAATTGACTAATAATACAGGTGCAATATCGTCTTCATTATCAAAGAAATAAAATAAAGGGGGATGAACCATTATAAATTCATGAATTGATAATTTTCCATTTTTTTCTGTTTATTGTTAAAATTATATATGTATATGTATATGTATTTATATATCTTAAGTGTCTGCCAGGTAATTAGGATATTAAAAAAAAAGATGAATAAAATAATTTTCCGGGTAAATAAATAGCAGATAAATTGTACAGAAAGCAATATATTATAATTATTTACACTACTTTACAAAGAAGTTTCGAGAACTGTATGTTACCAAGAGTTTCGTGGACCAATTTTTGTAAGCAAAATACGTCTCGGAGGTAAAGTGAATTTTTAATTTCCCCAAAAATGTAGTTGCACACAGTATAATTGTCTTTTGAAAATATTTTTTTTTCGTGCGAAAACTTTCAAGAGCGGGCCGTTTTTTACTTAATTGTATCAAGGGACGTTAAGCCCGTCTCATGGGTCGGAAATATTATACATAAGACGGTAAAGAGTTTAACCATTAACCCGGCTTTACTTGCATAAATTAATAAACACCAAAAACAATTGTTTAAAATTCTTGTAAAATCTAGGAACTCTGTAAGCGTAATTTCAAGTGACCCACATGCAAATGGAAATGCTCGATTTATAACGGTATCTTAAAACCTTAATTTGATCGAAAATGTGGAAGATAACGTCATTTTCTGACTCGAAAAGTGTTTATTCCTGAGAGTTTCTCCATTGCTTCTTATAAGCAAGAAATGAGCAAGCTACTTTCGCAGAAAAACCGCAAATAAAAAAAAAGAATAACTATTTCATATTTGATATCAGACAAAGCTTTTAAGGATACCGTTGTGAATCGGACATTGCAATCTTTGCATGGAGGGTCACATGAAAATACGCGTACAGTCCCTTTAATCTGAACTTCAAGTATGATGAAAGACAACTCACCATAAAGTAAATTCTCCGTTTGTTGAGTTTTCCAGATTATAGTTGAATGTTGCAGAGAGAATATCAACCTCCTCAAATAAACTTTCATCAATAAAAATAAGTTGATTAAAAAATTACCTTTCAGTGGAAATAAAGAAAATATTCGTCGATTTACAATTTTGTTAAATTTTCTTTTGGGAAATTCTTTTTAAATCTGAAGTTCTCGGGAACAGGGGACGAGAAAGATTATTTAATATTTTGCAATTTTAGTAGAAAAAAATAATCTATTTACGCAGTAACACCCCCCCCCTCTTTTGAAAATCATTTTTTGCCCCAGGAGAATTATATGCTTATTTTGGGGTAAAAATTACAAAAAAAGAATTTAAAAAGGTGCTTTTTAATGTCCAATCATTAATTTTTCCCCAAAATTATGAAAAATTCGCTATTTTTTTGGTTTGCATCGAATCCCGCTAATCTAACAACCCATTTATGAAGGTCCATAATAAAACAAGATTTATTAGTAAGTAATGTATTTTATTCAGAGAAAAATTAAAATTTCCATTGGTTTTATTTTTTTTCTGAGAGTAAACAACACAGCTAGTATCTAATTCATTAAAATTCATCAATAATTTGTTAAATGCATATTTCAAACCCATTCAAGTCAGCTCAATGGTAATAAATTACCGCTAACTTATCGTAAAATCTGCTAACAAAACCTCTAACTAGGACTGGACAGTGGACACGATACAGTAACGTAACGGACAGGCTCATAGCCTTTCGTTATTTACTAGAAAGCAATTCTTCTTCTTAAAATCATTTTCCAAATTTTACTTACAGTTAATTACGTTTTCAAATCAACGAGGTTTTCCATTTGTCAACGTAATTTTCTGTTCACTTTTAAAAACCGTCGTTCGTTAAGCCGCCTGTAAGCGTCATTAAATGACCCTAAAATCAAGGATGGCAATACCCAATTCACAACGGTACCCGTCAAAACCTTCGACTGGTCATTGTTTTGGAACTTATTCTCATTAATCTATTAAAACGAATATAATTATTGAACACTTTGTACGCAAGCTGTTTTAACTTTAAACAAATTTAAAATCACTTTCCTGAATTTCTAGAATTGGCAAAAAAATAAATAAATTCTTTTAACGGACCGCGTTTCCCAGTCCTACATTTAAAGTTTAAAATTAGTTTTCACCTCTTCTGTTTTATCCAACTCATCTTTATTCTTGTAAATCCGCAATCTACAATCCCTGGGCAAATGTTTAGATAATTTGACACAGTTCTAAGTCGACCATTAAAAAATTAAAGATCAGTTTAAAAATTTTTTTTAATTTTTTTAGTTTTGTGCAGAGTTTACAAATTTTACTTTCATTCATTATTATTCAAAGAAAAATTTGTGAAAAAGATATGAAAGAAAATGCTTGTGCACAAGGAGGAGGATTAGGATATTAATGAATTATTGCAGAACCTATGTTAAATACCACATTCTAAGTTCTAAAAAGTTTTTATTATCGGGAAAGTTTATAAATCTTTAAAAATAAATGTAAAATGAATGAATTATTTTACCCATAATCATAAACTGCCCATCTTTCTTTCCATTGCTGTAGAAATCCACCGGCTGAAAAGGAGAGAAGTCGTACAGGACCTATAATAATAAAAATACTAATTTAGTTTTCTTAATTTCATTCAATGACATTAATTTCCTATAGTCTATACCATTTAACCTCGGTTTTAGATCTATTAGGTATCGTTAACGTAAACCACAGATCAACAAGGGATCACTGTACATCGCTAACTAACCTTCAAATTCATTGATGATCGATAATTAGAAACTCAATCAATAATTAAATTAATAATTTGAAGAGATCGCTCACCCTCAAAGATCCAATTGGATCCAATGGAATCATTGACTGATAATGAAGATTTACTAGAGATTGCTAACTAGTCTGTAAGATCAACTAGAGATCGGTAACTAACCTCTAAGATCGCTGAGTTTTCGTCTCATCTGAAATGAATCTGTTCTAAATAGAAGATCGTTCTGATGAGAAGTTTTCTCCAGTTCAAGACTTTTCACCTTTGTACGGAGCTTCTTCTTTAACCTGTATCAAAACAACATTAAAGGGACTGTGAGCGTAATTTCAAGTGACTTTCCTGGTTAAGAGTGCCATGCCCGATTCACAACGGTACCCTTAAAACAATTATCTAAATAATAATGTGGAAGATATTGCCAGTTTTCTAGGTTATAGGGTTTTATCTGATAATTTTAATATATTTTTATATTAATAAAAACGCTCAAGTCACTTTCGTAGAGAAACCACAATTAAAAAAAACAGTTTTCGAAGTTATAAACATTGATATATAATTCATACTTCATCAGACAAAGCTTTTAAGGGTACCGTTGTGACGAGGACAATGCCAGCTTTGCATGGAGGGTCACTTGAAATAACACTTACATTCCCTTTAATCAAGGGACATAATGTAATTAAATCAAGAAATTAAAGTTTTGATTTCGAACAAGCTTTTTTGAAATTACAAGTTTACCAGTAAATTAATCGAAGCTGTGATTTGCCAGCCTTTCTTTGTTTCAATGTTGTTCAAAAGCTTGGCAGAAATAACAAATTTAGGTCGAAAGACGTCTTCATTGTATTGACATACAACGACGACTGTAGTTACGGACTTATTATGTGTTGAGTATCATTAATCTTAAACGTTTGATCTCGATATCAAATGTGGGCACTTTTTGTGTATCATTGCTTGATCACTACACGGTATGATCACCAATATATAATGAAATCAAAGAGGAATAAAATCAATCCTTAAGTCTGCATAAGATGGAGATCAATACTTGATGCCAAGATTCACAAAAAAAAATGTTCCGACCTGAGAGTAAATTTGCAGTGATAATCACAACCTTTCTAAGAAAAGGAAAAGGCGAAGATGACAATCAACACAAAAAGGTCAAAAATTCAAAAATCTGAAATGGTGCCTTGATGCAGGCTTATTGTAAACAAATGAAGGGGTTGATCTGATCATTTCCAATATCTTTTAAAAATAAAAATAATCTACAAAATTATTGGGTCTGTCCTAGAAAACGATTTTTGGACCCCCCTCCTATCAATTTTGTACATGACCTTTAATTTAAGTTATTTTGTATTATTTTAGGGTTATGTTAGGTTAAGAGACTTTCAGGGCCGAGCGCTGCGGCTAGGACAGGCTAGGGGGCCGACCGCTGCGGCCACGGGTTAGGTTAAGTTAAGACACTTTCTGGGCCGAGCGCTGCGGCCACGGGTTAGGTTAAGTTAAGACACTTTCCGGGCCGAGCGCTGCGGCTAGGACAGACTAGGGGGCTGAGCGCTGCGGCCACATGTCTTAAATTTAAGATCCATGTACAAAATTAATAGGAGGGGGGGAGGGGGGTCCAAAAATCGTTCTCTAGGAAATTACCAAATTATTAATAATCATGTGTCTCTTGTTAAATTGTACTTTATGCTATACCCTAGTGAATACTATTAAATGCACTTATAGATAATCAATAATGAAACATAACATAACATAGAAATATTCTGCCTATTGTAAACTAACATATTTCAGGGGACATTAGTTCCAAACCGGGCTTTAACAGTTCTAGAAATGGGCACAAAGTAAAAGATTTAATTTTTAGGACACCGACACATATAGAAAGCAAAAGACAATACCAGCAATTGCCATTTTTTAGTTATTTTCTAAAATCAAAATTGTAATAGGAGATTTTTTAATTTTAAATACCTTGACCTTTTCCTTTATGGATGTCTTTACTTTTTTCATTTTGTTAAGTTTTACCTTATCAACAAATCTTATTTTGTTACGCACTTGCTGGAGAATTGATTTGAAATTAAGAAAATGTTTTAAAATCAGCAATAAAATGTTCGAAAATAAAATTTTCGGAAATAAAATCTTCGTGTAAATTACTTATCACAACTTAGTATTAAGTATTGGTTTCTAGATTACATTTTTTGTTTTAACATAGAGCATTCCCCATGTTTATTAAATGCAGTTATGCAGTTTTTCCTACTCCGCTTGGATTGAATATGAACTCTTGAAAAAGATAACTTAGCAGATTTGGCCCATTTCTTACACTGAGTATTAAAAATGGAACCAACTATCAATTTTGAACTATTGTCTCCTGTTAATTGTAAAACAGAGATTACGGAAGGAACCAATAATGGGAGTTTATAGAAACTGTAGATAAAATTTCAAGTTACCCTCAATTTAAAGAGAGCTTTTTTGATTCACAGATAAAAAGTAAATAATGATTTGTTATCAACAAATACAAAAATTCTGCGAATAATTGAAGGATAACTCAAGCACATAGATTCTGTCTGCCTGGAACTGTCCCATCCAAGCTAACCAGGCAAAGAAAACATTGCCGGGTCTAGCAGACCCGTTTTAAAAGGAATCATAGAAGATGAAAATATTCGATTAAATCAGTTTACCAATATCATTTTGCAATAAACTTTTTTCCCTTGATTTCGTTTTTTTTCATATGATTTGATTTGATTTTATTGTTTGACCTGAAATTATTTGAGAAAAGAAAAAATGACGAAAAAATACATTTTTGATTTTAATTTTGAACCAAGAAGAGAACCCCTTTCACGCAGAAATAAGTATATATTATACAAGAGTGTACTTGTACCAAATTTTATTTGAGTCGATTCTATACATACATCACTTAGTTGATCCATTTCCAAAATAAATATTTAGCTGATTTTATGAGTCCAAAATTCAAAAGTCTAGGTATGAATAAAGGACATGCCAGTACAAGAAAATATTGTACCGAAACGGATCATGAGACTGAAATATCTATGAGCAAGGTACAGTTGTGAATAGGACATGACGATTAGAAGTTCAAGCATTTATTAGCTTAACATTCCATGAAGAAATTAGAGTCGATAATCTTCATCTAACAAGGAAATAAGTTTGTTTACACTCTGATGTTTCAAACTAAGAATTTTGTTAAATCAAATAGTCTAAGTTTGAAATATCGAAGGTTTATTCCGTAAGGATGCAAAGATATAGGGATTGGAAAATTTGAGTTTCTTGTAAAACTCAGTTCCTTTCCTTAAATGTACAAAATAGAGTCAGGCAAGGAGCAGTTTCTTCCCCTGTGCTATTCTGTCTATACATTGAAAAAGTTATCAAGTTATTACGCTGTTCAACGATTGGATGCCAAATCCAGGGTGTCTTTATGGGCATCTGGGTATATGCAAATGATATTATTCTGCTTTCTCCTAGCAGAACAGGTCTTCAGGAAATGGTGAAAATTTGTGAAAATTTTGCCAAAGCTAATAACTGAAATTTAGTACAAATATTCCAATCGAAAAATATAAAACGAAATGCCATATTTTTTTAGAGAAATAATAAATAATAAAATAACCCAATTTTTTTGAATTAATTACCTTTACCATTTTTCAACGACTTGAAACTTTTAGGAAATGTTCTGCAAAGTGATAATTAAATGACCATAGATTGCAATAAAAAACGAGCTATTTTCATTTAAAAAGTTTACTCCCTTAACCAAGAATTTAATTTAACAGTACAGACGTTATTTTAAAACTAAATAATATTTATTGTTGTAGTTTTTATGGATCTAGTATTTGGGACTTGAGTTCCCAATGTGTTTCAAACTTGTATACAGCATAGAATACTATTAGAATTCTTTTTAATGTACCTACAGATACGCATAGGTACTTGATTGAAAGTATTTCACAATGTTTACATGTAAAAACTATGTTAGCTAGCAGATGGGTGTCTTCCTAATTTATGCAAAAATGACCTTAACACAATTCTTGGCAGAAATTTATTTTCTATTGTAAATGATTGTTCTGTAAATCTTTCTGATCTTAGTAAAATGTTAGCTAAGAAAAAAATGAAATATTTTGATGTCCCATTGGACCATGAATGGAAAGTTCCAGTTTTACAAGAACTTTTAAATACAAGAACGAATAATTTATATGTTGAAGGATTCGATGATTACGTAATAACTGAAATGATAAATATGTTATGTAATGAGTAATAATCAATGTTGTCTATTTGTGCATAATTTTGCATATTTTTCTCTTTTGCGTTGGAAACCTGTTATATTAAAATATTTATTTAAACAAATTTGAACTACACCATTCATATATGTATTTATATTTTTGTGTGTGAATACATTTTTATAATTATAATAATTTAGATTAGAGAGGTTAATTAAAAATAAAATAAATATATTTACATTTTTCTTCTTCACCAAATGAACTTAATATTGAAAAAAGGAAGATTCTAGATTTCTATTTTAGTTCAGAATTTAGAGAATGTTAAAGAAATACTGAGCTAAATGTATATCTTGTAATATGAGGAAATTGAGCTTTTACTGAGTCACTTAGCACTGGATCCTGTAGCTTTGAAATAGACCAATCAGCTGTAGGTTTGCAACATGGATATATTAAATAGGAGAATACAGTTGTAGGTTTGTAACATGGATATATTAAATAGGAGAAAACAGTTGTAGGTTTGTAACATGGATATATTAAATAGGAGAATACAGTTGTAGGTTTGTAACATGGATTTATCAAATAGAAGAATAAAGTTGTAGGTTTGCAACATGGACATATTAAATAGGAGAATACAGTTGTAGGTTTGCAACATGGATATATTAAATAGGAGAATACAGTTGTAGGTTTGCAACATGGATATATTAAATAGGAGAATACAGTTGTAGGTTTGTAACATGGATATATTAAATAGGAGAATACAGTTGTAGGTTTGTAACATGGACATATTAAATAGGAGAATACAGTTGTAGGTTTGTAACATGGACATATTAAATAGGAGAATACAGTTGTAGGTTTGTAACATGGATATATTAAATAGGAGAATACAGTTGTAGGCTTGTAACATGGACATATTAAATAGGAGAATACAGTTGTAGGTTTGCAACATGGATATATTAAATAGGAGAATACAGTTGTAGGCTTGTAACATGGATATATTAAATAAGAGAATACAGTTGTAGGTTTGTAACATGGATATATTAAATAGGAGAATACAGTTGTAGGTTTGTAACATGGATATATTAAATAGGAGAATACAGTAAATAGGCTTGTAACATGGACATATTAAATAGGAGAATACAGTTGTAGGTTTGTAACATGGATATATTAAATAGGAGAATACAGTTGTAGGTTTGCAACATGGACATATTAAATAGGAGAATACAGTAAATAGGCTTGTAACATGGATATATTAAATAGGAGAATACAGTTGTAGGTTTGTAACATGGATATATTAAATAGGAGAATACAGTTGTAGGTTTGTAACATGGATATATTAAATAGGAGAATACAGTTGTAGGTTTGTAACATGGATATATTAAATAGGAGAATACAGTTGTAGGTTTGTAACATGGATATATTAAATAAGAGAATACAGTAAATAGGTTTGTAACATGGATATAATATAATATAATAAAACAAGACATTCGTATATATGTCACCGATAGCCGGCCAAACTAACTGTCTTAAATAAATAGATATTATTTTAAAAATCATATTTACCTTGGAGGGGGAACTGGAGGTCCATTTTCTTCAAATAAATCCGTATTCACACTATTCGCCTCTTCACATCCCTCCGCCCCACCAACAACCTCCGCCTCTAATGCTTGCTGTGGCGGTCGAGGAGGTGGCGGCGGAATCTAATAAAATACACTTTTAACAAAATATTTAAAAACAAATATTTGGATGAACAATTTCTGATGTTTAAACTGTAACGAATTGAAGTTAGTTTATTGATGTTGAAAATATTGTTCAGAAATAAATAAAATACAATATTTTATTTTTCATCGCCTTGGTATAAAGCATAAAAAAATGTATTCATGTTAAAAATATAAAATTTAGAGTTCTTATCAACAAAGATTAGCCCAAGGCAAACTTTTTCCCATTAAAATAGTTTTAAACAAATATTTAAGTGGCCCTTTAAAAATTAAAATTACAGATAGGACACTAGATGTCGTCTTTTCAATATTTAGATGAAACTCGAAGAACAGGCTCTGTCTTGTAATTCTACGCCGACTGCGCGAAACTCCTCTGAGATTCTGCCTGAGGGTTTTTTTGAACGAGTTTCATCCAAATCTTGAAAAGACGACAACTAATGTCCTATCTGTTATCTTCATTAATCTATGATGATACTGCTGTGAATAGTAAAGATCACTTATTTTAACTTTTCAGTTTCAGACCTAAGCTTTGAATTTATATATTCTGAACCTAACATTGAAAGTTTTGTAACAAAGAGAAAATAGAAAAGAGTAAAAGTTTTAAAAGTAGAAAAATAGAATACTGTTCAAACCAATCCATTAAATTTACTTGTAAAGAGCTTGAAAAACATAAATCCGGTTCCTAGTCATGAACATTACTTTAAACTCTCATCTTTTTTATCAGGAGAAGAGTTTTTTTTTTACAGTTAAGATTTCGGTTTTGAGAGCAAAAGATTATTGTTTGCAGGTTTGGGTTGATATTTTGCCCCATGTATCCGGATCCGTAGAACCGCATATTTATTGGGTACCGAATCCAGGAAGCCAAAATGTTGCAAATCCAACAGATCCTGCTCCTAAGCACAAACCTTTGTATATTTGGTTGAATCTGATTTGAAGTCTTGGTGGGAGAGGGTAGAATTCAAGCTTACAGATCCACTACAAATATATCTTATAGCATTTTTTTATTAGTTTTGGTTTTCGCCTTTCTTGGGATATTTGTAATTTTCAAAAATTATGACATTATGATTGTACTTTCATACATATCTCAGGGTTTATGACTTCTTAATCAAATAATAACTGACATTTTTTGTCGTCTTCAGCGTGAATTAAAATATTAAAGGGACTGTGAGCGTAAAGATGGCAAAGATGACAATGCCCAATTAACAACGGTAACATTGAAAGCTTTCTATTTGTTGCTTTAAATTGTTATTTTTCATTTTGCGCATTTCTTGTTTATGAGAAGCAATGTAAAAAATCACAGATATAAACACTATTCGACTCTGAAAAACGACGGTATAATCCATATTTTTGATCAGATTAAGGTTTCAAGGTTACCGTTGTAAATCGAAAATTGTCATCTTAGCATTGAGGGTCATTTTAAACATACACTTACAGTTCCTTTAAGTATTGCTTTTAGCATTACAAACTCCTGCAACGTCATAGCTTCAACATTATTTCTTTTTTTTGACATGAACTTCAAAACCTGAAAGTGTTAAAAAAATGTTCCAAATTAACCTTGAATCAAAATCTGGAGTTTCTGGTGGCGTATCATAATCCTCAGTGATACAGGATCTAAAATCAATATAAAGTTTAGTCCTGAGTTAGATACATAGTTTACCCAGACAGGACATGAGAGATTGTCGTTAATTTAGTCATTGGGCGGCATACAAAGGAGTTGGGGACGGGGTGTCACGAATTGCCATTTTTTTAAAGAAAACAATTTTGTTAGGTTTTAGCCCATTCAAGAGGAAAAAACAAGATTTCCAGCCCTTTTGGAGTCTAGGGAGGGGCACTATTACCTTGCCCCCCCCCCTTCCTTGCATAATGTATATATATAAATCCTTCACTTTGGGGCATGTTCATATCAGGTATCTCCCCTACCATCACCTGAGAAATACACCTGGCATATTCAGCGCAGAGAGCAACGAAAATTATGCATCAATTTTCTAGACCGGGTCGACTTTGGTCCTTCATCCCTTGTTTACAGCTTTACGTTGAAAGGAGTAATTGTCAATATGCTGATTTTAGCGTGAGAGCGTGCACAGTGAACACTATGGATTACTGAATCAGACAATCACTGGACATCAAGATGTGCATTGTGCACGCTCTGACGCAAAAATTAAGCAGTATTTTGCCAATTACTTATATTGAACTTGAGTTAAAAACAAACGCATTTTTAAAATGAATATGCATGGGGCTACAAAAATGTACAAGTGAGTTGGTGAGGTAATACCAAAGGCCAAAACGTTGCGACAGTTTTAAGTCGAGACTGCCTAGAAATGTGATGCCTATCTTTAAGAGTTGTGTATATCTCAGTGTAATATAAAACCGAACCAAGTGATCCGGGTCCAGGGAGTAATGTTCTTGAAACGACAAGTAACCCATCCCTATTCTATCTGTTTAATCTGTGAATACAGTCTACAGACAGTTTCCAATATATATGCAATATAGGAAGCTGTATTGAAAGCAGCAGTAACTTACATTATCAGAATACTATCGAAGATATATTATATAAAGTATTAGATTTATCAAATATAAATTTTAAGGGGTGTTTAGTGTTTAGTGTCCTCAGAAAATCTTAAAAAACCGCCGCTTCTAATTAATTTTTGATTTCAAAGTTTTTTAAATTACAAGTTTACAAGTAATCTTATTGTGTAATGTGTATCCATGCTGTTTGACATCTTGGTAGAAATAAAAAATTTAAATCGAAAGTCGTTTTCTTTGTATTTATATATACGACGACAACTGTACTATTGCAATTTTTAAAAGCATAAAGTAAATCACATTAATGCTTAGCTGGATACATGCCAAAATTATAAGTAAACCTGATAGTTGCAGAACGATCCTGAACAGGGTTTGCATCAGGGTTGGCATCCTCGTTTACTTTTCCTCCCAAATCTTCTAAACCTCTCTTATCTCCTGGTTCTCCTTGATCTTCTCCTCCAGGGTGTTCAACACCTTCCGTCACCTAGAGAATATAGAGTTTAACTAATTTCAAGTGACCGTTTAAAGATGGCCCTGCCAGATTCACAACAGTACCCAGAAAACCATTGTTTGATCAAGCAAAAAATTAGATATCAATGTTAATAATTTTGAAAACTGATAATTTTCAATTGCAGTTTCTCTACTAAAGGGATTTGCGGATTTCTACTGCAGGAAAGTATGTTGGAACTATCATAATAATACAGTTATCTGCGAAAAAAAGACGATATTTTCCACATTGATTATCATTTAAAGGGGTTTCAAGGGTACCGTTGTGAAATTTGCATTAAAAGTTAACTTAAAATTACGCGTACAGTCCCTTTAAACCAAATCCACTTAATATTAAGTTCATCAATTTAAAACAGGTCTTTCAAAACATTTGGGAATAAACTAGTGCTTTATCTGAACCGTGCAACACGGAATTTTTTAAGACTCTCTGGGTCTCATTTTGCTCTTATTTTGCGAAGTAGAGAAAAAAGCTTTATTGATTAATTTTTCTTCTAGGAACATATTTCAACTTTTTATATTATCTTTTCTTAATGAACCTTTACTGTAAACACCTCTATGTAGTTTTTTCTATATACAAAAAAATCTTAATAAAGGGGAGGAGGGGGGGGTATAGGTCGTATTACTCTCAGGAAAATTTAAACAGTGGTTAAACATAACTTAGCAATGTCCTAGGACAATCGGTTTATGATTTATGATCTGACATACAGGAAAACGTACAGACAAATTAACAGAGAGTACTATTTTGTATCTATATGTTAAAGTTGCAATCTCTGTTTGCCTGTCTTTTTTAGTTTTCAGGAACCCCTGGACCGTTTTGCCTCAAATTTTGATTGCGGGGACCTCGGGAGAGACACGGAAATGTTCTTAGCTTGGTTTTGAGATATTAAGTTGAGTGGGTTTACAAAATTTACAAAACGACATCTTTGATTAGCTTAGATGAGTGGTTAATTCTACAAACTGGGATATTTTTTAAAGTTCTCTGATAAAATCTGCAATTTAACTTAGCTCATCAACTATGTGCAAAATTAATAAATACAGTGCCCGATTTTAATGAATTTAAGCCACGTCTCCCCCAAAAACCGGTTTTAATTGACCGCCGGCTTAAATCTTGAAAAATTTATTACAAATTTAAGTGGAACCAACCATGTTTGAGCCGCGGCTTAAATTTAAACCGGGGATCAAATTCTTTAAATTCGGCCTCAGGATAGGTAAGTTCTAGATCATCCGTAAAGGAACTGTAAGCAGAATTTCAAGTGACCCTCCGGCCTCCATGCAAAGATGGCAGTGCCTGATTTACAATAGTACCCTTAAAAGCTTTGTCGGATAAAATATGGATATTCATGTCTTCCTTTTTTATCTGTTTATTTTCAGGTGTGGTTCTTCTGCACAAGTGATTTCCGCATTTCTTGGCTTATAAGAAAAAAATGTAGAAATTAACATCATCAAATACTTCTCGAGTCAAAACAAAAACACATAATTTTCCACATTTTTGATCAATTTTCAAGGGTACAGTTATAAATTGGATTTTGCTATATTTGCATAGAATGCCTCCTAAAATTACGCGTACAGTCCCTTTAAACCCCAAATAGGGGATACTAAAACTCAGATTTGGATTAAATCCCTATTAGAAAGTTTCCTTCATTGAAAAAAACTCTTTCACCTCTTCTATTCCAGTCTGGTGGTTCTCCTGTAGTTCCTGCACTATATAATCATGAATTCCAGCTTCATGTGTATCACCAACTACTTCATTCACGTCAAGTAGCGCCTTGGGGCCTCCCAATCCTCAAGAAATAAATAAATAAAAAGAATGGAAAAGGAAAGGAATTTAGTCGTTGCCGCAAACTCTGATTTGTTAACCCCTATATCTTTGTAACTCAATCTCATAGGCCTTAGATATTTAAAACTATTATTTTTGTTACTTATCAAATATCAAAAGGTTACACCATCAAGTTACAAATATATACGGTTTGGAAAATTTGAGTTTGTGGCAAAGACTCAGTTTCTTTAAATTGATTTTGACTAAATGGTGTTTTTTAAAACTGAACTTTGTTAACATTTAAGTTTTGTTCAAGATTAGTGAACAGACCCTTTAATGACGGTGAAAAGTGTTGTTAACTACCGGAAATGAAGAGAACGGAAATGGAGAGCAAAGCTCTGGCCATTTCCTCTCAGAGTAGATTAAAACAGTCTCAGTATGCACTATGCATACGGTTTCGTGAAAAGTGTCGGCGACAAATAAATGTTTTTTTATTTTACTTTATTTTTTAATGTTAAAGCAATGAATAAGCCGAAAAAGATTTAGAGAGGAGGCGCATTTAGGCTTTCTGCCAGAATGCTGATTGTTATGTTTAAAATTTAAAAAAAGTTTTTTCTCGTTTTGGTTAATATTTGTAAATTGACATAATCAAACTTGACAAGAATACAATTTTGCAATTTAATTAACAACTCACATTTTGTGAAACCCTTTTAAGTTTTAACATACAAAAAAACCTTAAATGTCTCAAAGGCCCTTTAAGCGATGCCTATCAATATCTATACCCCTCCACACAGTGGAGTATTTTAGGGGTCGGGGTTATTTTTGGTCAAAAATACCCCTTTAAAAATGCATTAGTCTTGTGTTTCATGGTGAGCATAGACAAAATGAATATATTCTGATAATATTTTCATCTAAAAAACATTGTATCAATTGTAGCTTGCATTGATTTATGATGATTTCAAGTTATAATTTTTTTCCCGTTCATATATTTATCCTTGAATGGATCCTGAAAATCCGCAATGTATTTAAAATGTCGTTTTTGTTAAAGCTAACTATTTCGAAACAAAAAACTAGACTTTATAGCTTTTTTTACAGGATTCAGGATAATCTAGATATATAAATAGATTCTAATAACCATTAATCAAAGATGATGGGGCGCCACAAGCCCGCCAAAGTATTGGTTTGTTCTCTGATTCGTGTATAAAATACCTATTTTGAGAGTTTTCACTGAAATTATCAGTTTTCCGTGATATGTCAGAGCTTCAACAGAACAATACCATGACTCAAGCGACAGAGCCTTACTTGACTCGAATTAGAGGTGTATCCGGTGTAAACTTTATATTGCTGACCCCCCCCCCCCCCTAGGACAAAGATAAAAAGTTTACCTATTGCATTTTCTTCAATTTCTGCTATAGATTTGTTGATTAAATATTCATCATTATCTTGATCATTTAATCCATAGTAGAACATAATCTGAAACATGATAAATATCAACTCTGTAGATCGTACTTAATAAAGGGTAGAAAACTTAATTAATTTATAGATTTATCCTTAACATGTTCTATTATTTTGACGCATTCCTATATAGTTAATATTTCATAATATTTCTTGTTTGTTTAATGCACACTTAAAACTACATTATTTCCGCTAGGTGTCTCTGCCACGTATAATCGTCGAGAGCAGAGACACCTGGCGGCCAACTATTTCGGCGTTTTAAGAGCATTGTATACAAAACAAATAAAAATATTATACAATATTAACTATATACGAATGCGTTGAAAAATAATCGATGACTACAGATTGAAATACTTGAATGATTTGTTTGAAATGAAATTGATTTTTTTACGATCCGAGACGTATGATGCAACTTTCTAATTTTTATGAACGTTACGTTCTTGGATACAAGTAAGATTAGTTGCGATGAAAAGCGCTTATTTTTCGCCGTTAGCTGGTTCTCATATCTATCCTTCTATCCTGTTCCATGATACCAAGGATACTGTAGAGAGAATGGTTAGCTGGTTCTTATATCTATCTATATATCATATGCCAAGATACGATACTGTAGAGAAGATGGTTAGCTTGTTTCTCTTATTTATCAAGCTATTTGTTCTGTTCTATGACACCAAGGATACTGTAGAGAGGATAGTTAGCTGATTCTTATATCTATCTATCATGTTTTTATGACACCAAGGATACTGGTTCTCTTATTTATCTAGCTAGTATTCTGTTCTATGACACGAAGGATACTGCAGACAGGATGGTTAATTTCTGGCGTTTAAGATCTTCAACTCGACATTCTAAAATAATATAAACAAATTTGGATAGAGATGATTTTCATAGTTTTCATAATAAAAAATTTAGAGAACATTTTTAAGACATTTTAAGTATTTTGTTGGATTTCCTTTCGACATTTTATTTCTATTTAAGTTTTTATTCCGAACAGGCTTGTTTTAAATCATATATTTACACTTTTTTTAAATCAAAATTCAAACAAAAAGTCGTCTTCATTGTATTGATATATACACCTACAACTGTACTTTTTATTTATACATTTATTTATACTTCTGAACAAACGGTACATGAAACATAAATAACATATTGATCTAAGTTTATTAACCACAAAAACAAAATCTAATAAAAAAGAGAAAATTTTGAATATTTTGATGTTTATTTCAAATATGGAGAAAAACTTTTTTTTTTGATTTATTTTAAGCTTTAACGTAAAGGGAGTGACAACAAAAATAGGAAATAAATGACGGCTTTAAATTTTCTTTTAAGATTAGTTCTTCTTTACTGTCCAAAAACAAGTCGACATATAAAATTGTTTAAAATGAAGCCGTATACAGAATACAAGAGGACAAATCTGATCCAACAAAATAATTGTACTATTCAAGACTGTCAAAATAATTTTGATTTTTTGTTCTAGGCAGTTCGACATTTTTATGAAATTTACGAGCAACAGGTCCTAAAGCTTAAGTCAGAGTAATATATCATTTGTTAACTTTGTTTACTGATTAAAAATCCATGTTTAGAAGGAGAACCTGTACTATTCCGTATTAAATATAAATAAATTAAAGTGTATAGAAGTAACTGTTAACTACTCCCAAGAGATGTCTGGTATAAACAAAGTACAGAGATACTAATAAATACAGAAATACCAACAAATACAGAGATACTAACAAAATACAAAGATACCAACAAATACAGAAATATAAAAAATACAGAGATAAAATCAAATACAGAGATAACAACAAATACAGAGATAACAACAAATACAGAGATACCAACAAATGCAGAGATACCAACAAATACAGAGATACCAACAACTACAGAAATATCAACAAATACAGAGATAAAATCAAATACAGAGATAACAACAAATACAGAGAAACCAACAAAAAGAGAGATATAAACAAATACAGAGATACTAACAAATACAGAAATACCAACAAATTCAGAGATAACAACAAATACAGGATAAGGATATAGAGCACAGGATACAAGACACAGGACACAGGATAAGGATACAGGACACAGCCTTCAGGGAACAGAATACAGGGTATAAGAACAGAGCAAAGGGTAGGATTAAAGGTACAGAAGACTCAACTAGAGTTTTAAGCTACAGATAAATGAAACAGGATTTGATATATTCAATACAAGAACTTTGGAAACAATACCTACATGAAAAAGAGTACAACGTACAAAATATAGGAATCAAAATACTGAGTTTATATAAAATGCTATATAAAACAAGAGTGTATGATACATGATACAGTATACAGGACACGTTAGACAGGATGCAGGATTATAATCCAGGATACAGAATACATTGTAAAATTACAGGATCCAGGATTGAAACGAAGTGTAAGACTGGAGTCTAGTATAGGACTGGTGGTACCCGTTCCAGCCTCTGGTTTCAAGAATGAGGATTCTGTTCACTATAAGGCCGGGGGAAGGGGAAGGGGGGGGCGTCAATATACAAAAATTACATAATCATCGTGAAACGTAACACAAAAATTTATGATTTAACAACAATTTTACATATCTGATAATGTCTTGCTTTTTTTGAAAAATAATTACACCTTTCTGTTACAGAAAAATATACCTTTCCGTTGCCTCAGTTAATTGAACCCGCGAAAAAAAGGTAATGGATCTTGCGGAAAATACTTATAGTTTTTTCAAGTATAATGGTTTTATTTTGGCGTTAAAACTTGGAGATAATCTAATATGATATGGGACGCTCTGTATATATAAAGTAATAAATAATGTTGTTACATTATCATTACGGCAACATCTAATAAATATCTTGTATGCTTCAGCTAAACCTTTGATTTTTCCAATTTTGATTTAGATAAAGTAACTCTCACAGATTGAACATCAAAGGTACGCTAATGACACTCACACCAAGTTGGAGATTTGAAAATTTGACGAGTTATTTAATGCGAGTAGTTTGCTTGTATTGTAATGGAAAAGATTAAAAGTGAAATCTTGTTTTTGTTTAAACCCCCCAAAAAACTATAGAAATTTAACGTAAAAAGGCAATGTTGTCAGAAAAGATGTTAATTACTTGAAAACAAAACATCACACCATCCAACATCACTTTTAATTCGTTTTCTTATGAAAAAGATACCTGATGTTCGGGATGGCTCCTACGAATGTGATTCTTCAGGTTTCCTTTCTGAGTGAAAGGAAAATTACAGATAGGACAAATAAACGGTCGCAGGCCGTCATGCTGCCTTTCGTGTATCTAAAAAATGTGACTTGTTAAACTTATAAATAATTTACTGAGAGAAAATATTTTTTTTTTTTTTTTTTGGGGGGGGGGAGGGAGCAGTGTACAAGCAAGGCTATAACAATGAGATCAAAGCTGGAAGGTTCTCTAGATCCACCTATTGTGTTACTGTTACAGAGAAATCCAGAGCAAAATTATAAAACTTGATAAATCCTTTTGTTGACAATGTTCAGCGGGAGGTCCCTCCCCTCCATCTTCAAAACAACCAGTAGACCACCCCCTCCCCTCTTACCCCTTGCCAGACAATATCGTTAGTTTTTCTTTCCTTTTTCCAATTGTACTTTCTGCAATCTTAAAAATACACCCTGAATCAAAATCTAAATAACCAACTCCGGTATATAATAATAATTCATTAGAAATATATGCTTTCCTATACTTTCCTAGCTATATATTAAATTTATATTTTAAAATCGTAAATTGGTCAAAGTAAAGACATCACTAGGAAGACGACGTTTAGACTCAAATAATAACTTTAAATAGCCCAATAAACAGACATTGTGCAGTGTAAACAGACCAAATTAACTTGATACGTGATTCAATTAGTTGCTAGTTAAACTAGGTGCTTGTAACAACATCAAATGCACTAAGTATTGCTACTTTCGTTTTGCTATTCCACAGTTATCTGTATTTAGTTGAAAACACCCTATTGCAGTATTTTTTTACTTTACAAATAATTTTTTTAAAACTCTTTGTACATACTTTAAACCTTAATTTTATCACTCTAATGGGATGCATCTAGCTCAAACTTCAATTGATAAAAAGGTTGTCCCTTTAAAAAGTAATGCTGTAAAATGCCCCTCTCCCACTTTTCTTCTCTCGACTCGAAATTGAACCCTCTAACAAGGTTTTCTCTAAACTGAAATCTTGATATCTCTAGAGTCTAGTATATAGTTGATAAAAACAGAATATCAGATATCTTTGCACGTTTAACTTAAGTAAAATTGAAATCTTCAATGTTTTCAATCATAACTCTTCTTATTAAAGAGCTATTGAGAAGAACATGTTTTGAATATCTGATATGTAACCAAATAAATTTGCATTTTCGGCACTGAAGTGCGTAAAACCAAACTAGAGGAGTTACGAGGTCACAAAGTCATACCAGTAATGTCTCATCTAATCAACTTGGTTTTCAAGTCTCCGAAGGCTGGATATCGTAAATTTCGTTAATACTATTATAATTTTACATTTAAAATCTCAGGAATTATCCAGTGTTAACATTGGTGTTAGATGTATAAGATAAACAAACTATGGAATTAATATACATATGTAAAGTTTAAGTTTTCGAAATTTACACTGCAGATCTCTAGGCTGACCATTTTTCAGTCAGAGCTCTTTTATTGGTCAAATCAGAACCAATTAGAATCATTGGGACTAATTGTAGACCCAAGGAAAGACCTGGACGTAAAGAAAGCTCAAGTCTAGGAAATGTTGAAATCTCAGCTCTGGTAACATTCCGAGGTTAAAACTTTTGTTTTGATATCGCTTAGCTAAAGCCGCTGAACTTGATGTCCAGTGGATTATAAATTGAAGATTAACTTATTAAATCAAGGAAAGTTGTCCTTTTCTGTCATCATTAAGGTATCCTAAAACCTCCTTGGTATAGCGATTAGCGGGATAAAGTAGCCGGCTAGCGATGTCATCACAAATTTCAGTCACAAAATTGTTCTAATATTGATGTCTAGACTATAGTATCCCAATATTTCTCTTTTTTATTTTTCTTACAAACACTCCCCCCCCCCAATTATTAGGCAATTATGATGAGATACATCTGGTAGGTAGGATACTGGACCTATCATGGTTTTTTGTTTTGTCTATGAGGATTTTGGATTTAAATCTTATTGCTGTTATATTCACCTGCAGCGCGCTTTTCTGGTTGAAAGTTTTGCGGCATTCTGCGCACTGAAACGGTCTCTCGCCTGTGTGTATTCGCATATGTCTAAAAATATTAAAAGTTGACTCAATGTCCACATTTAGATTGCCAAATCCTAATTTATTTTCCAATTTTCAAAATTTTGCTTTTAATTTACACTTGTAAAAAATTTAACTACTCACTGGAGGAGAGTCTAGATTTATCTAGATTAATATTTTAATTTAAATAATGGAAACTAGTTCCATTATTTTGTTCTCTACCTTGTGAGTTGTGAAGGTTTGTTAAAGGATCGAGGGCAAACATCACATGTATGAGAATTCGTTCCGGGAACTCCTAGATAAATACTACTTATTTAGTACCCGATACTCCTAGATAAATAATACTTATTTAGTCCCGGATACTATACTCCTAGATAAATAATACTTATTATGTCCTGGATACTCTTAGATAAATAATACTTATTTAGTCCCGGATACTCCTAGATAAATAATACTTATTTAGTCCCGAATACTATACTTCTAGATATATAACACTTATTTAGTCCTGGATACGCCTAGATAAATAATACTTATTTAGTCCCAGATACTCCTAGATAATTAATAATTATTTAGTCCCGGATACTCCTAGATAAATCATACTTATTTAGTCCCGGATACTCCTAGATAAATAATACTTATTTAGTCCCGGATAGGTTCGGCGTCAAGAAACCCTAGAGATATTAATAGTTTATTTTTTACAGAGGAAATATTCATCAAGAACCCAGAACATTCCAGGGATTTATTTAATCCAGGGATAAACTGCAACTCAGTTTTAGGGTTCCTAGATTTTAAAATGTTAAAACTTAACTCAGGGGTTCAGACTAAAATACTGTATTAATTGACTAACCAACAATTAAAGGAGAAACGGAAGTCCGACGGAGAGGAGATCTGAGGCCATGAGGAAGATAGGTGAAGATAAGGTAAACTTGGCAAGGTCCACAACTCCGCAAGGTAGCAGTGACCTGCCATTTGAACAACCCAAGATGAGTACTTGGGGAAACAAGGAACCCTCCAACCCGATGAATTTGGAAGCAGCAATTATAGGAGATCTGGACGCTCAGGAATCCGATGCTCCAGCAAGTCGTACGGATAGGATCATGATGGGTCATAATACTGTCCAGGAGAGAGCGAAAGCGAATGGAGTGGGGTTAATATCAGTAGAAACTCTGAGAAGAAAGAGAAATGAGGTATCGGAACTAAAAGAAAGAGCTAAATGCCTCAGGAGAGAGTGTAGCGCGTAAGCTGCAGAACTACAAGAGGAAGAAGAGAAGTTGGGAGCACTAGCGGATGAGTGGGAGAAGGTACTGGTGGATGGGGAGTGGAAGGAGTCTTTATAGGGTTAATCACTCAATTCCCCCAATTTATCATGTTAATTCAAAGTAAATTTCAAGTTAGATTGAAATCATATATGTGGTAATTATAATTTTTATATAGATATATATTGAAAAGAACAAAAGTTTGTAAATTTTGATAGCAACCAAATACATTTGCTTAGATTATACTCGAGTGTGAAATCAAAACTAAGAGCAACGAGTAACCAGTGATTTTGCATGAAGGATGAGAGTTCTTGTCACGAACTCTATTTGTTAAAATCCCTCTATCTCTACGACCCAATGTCCTAGACCGTCGACATTTCAAACTGTGAATCCTGTTAGACCAAACTATCCAAGTTTGAAATATAAAAGGTTTACACCACTAGGTTGCACAGATATCCGGATTAGAAAATTTGAGTTTGTAACAAGAATTCAAATCCTTAAAATCTTATAATCAGTAAATCAAAAATTGTATAGAAGTATTTAAAAAAACTTAATGTAGTATTAAAAATCCAAAATTAGTATTTGAAAAATCTTATTAATAATATTTGAAAATCTAAGAAGTATATAAAAAAACATATTGTAGTATTTGAAAGAGTTGTTTTTATAAAGTCTTAAACTCTTTAGTCTTCCAGGCTAGGTCTCTTAAGATTAAACTTTGATTAAACGTTCTAATTTTACTCAAAAAATAACAAATTCAAAGTTAATATTAAACCATTCTCATCATATTAATTATATCCGCATTAAGTTAGCAGCAGCAGTTCATTCAGTCTTTTCATTACCACAGCATTGAAAATCAATAATATCATTTAATAAATGATATTTAATTCTTAAGAGTATAATCTAATATAATATCCACTAGAGTTCGTTTCTTTTCTCAACGACACCGTAGATCACAAAAATTTCATTTTTTCTCAAAAATTTCGTTTGTTCCGGAAACCGATGCCCGTCTCAAGCATGAATGGTACCAGATACCTGCGATATATCCAAGAGCTCTGAATCTTGGACCTCTGCATTCCAAACCTCCCCTAAACATAGTAAACATTAATGTGCAGTTGATAGCATTTTAAAAACAATTACTAATTTAAAAATTTAATCTTTCTGATCACTGTCATAACATTTTTTTGTTGTAAATATCAGAATCAGAGTCAGAGTCAGAGTCAGAGTCAGAGTCAGAGTCAGAGTCAGAATAATAAAAATAAATATTCTGAACCTTGTGTTTGTTGTGAGTGTGATGTATCTGTACTATTCCTCTGTAGGTTGAGAACTATCCCTCTCTCTCCCCCAGAAAACTCAACTATCTCTCCGTCCCTTAACCCAGACATACCAGGCTCTCCTTCTCCTACCCCACCCTGTCCAGGAGTGTACCCGGATGGGATATGTACACCTTGAACTCCAACAGGTTCTTGAAACCTGTTAACATCTTCTCCAGGGTTAAGAATAGTAATCAATGCCGCGTCTGAACCTATAAACTCTGCTCTTTCAATATCTGATTCCGACAGAGACGCTTCTTTAATAACAGATCGTAGCTTTGGTACAGCTCTAGCATTGCCAGCGCTAACAGCAGTAGTTTGCTTTATTTCATCCGTTTGTAGTTTTTCGTCCCGTACTGCCTTTTTGGAACTTTCAACGCCCTGCAATAAAACCAAATTGTATTCGATGAATTTATGAATTATTGATATAAACTTTATTAAAGGGACTGTAGACGTAATTTTAAGTTACCCTCCATTTAAGGCATGGCAAGCACAATAATTTAATAAAGATATCCTTATTTTCTATCTTGAAAACTGATAATATGGTCTCTATAAAAGTGACTAGCGGATTAAAGCAGTCGAAACAAAGCAGAAAGTTTTCCTGCTAGGAAAACGTCAATATCCTCCCCATTTCGGCACTGACAAAAGTTTAAAGGGTACCATTGTGAATCGGGGGCTTGCAACACTAAAACTATGATTTTAAACTACAAAAAATAAAGGAGTGACCTGTGTGAGTTGGTTATTATTGATAGTGATGATAATATTCTCCCCTCGCCTCAGCTGCTCTAGCACCTCCTCGTTAATATGGAGATGGGTCATGGCAGACTCAAACCCTGATCCATGGAGCTGCAGCTGCACAGTAGCTCCGATAAGTGGAGCTCCTGTGCTGCTAACTGCCTCTAGTGCAGCTGTTAGAGACTCAGCTGATATGGTGAGAGGAACCAGGTCATTAGAAGCAGAAGTCTCATCCTGTAAGTGTAAACAGAATAAATATATATGTAAACCATTAAAATATATTAAAATTTTTTAATAATGGCTAAGTAATATTTCAGACAAGATATACACACTACACAGACTGCTCATTAGCTCTCACGAAGATGCTGGGCGAACAGGGAAAACTTGAACATGTGGATTGTAAGCTTGAAAACAATGTATTTCCTTCATTAAAAGATATTTTCATAGTTCTTCTAGAAGCCAAGGAAGGATAAAAAGAAACAATCAATGATAAAACCGACCTTCAGATGTGTTTCTAAATGTTGTTTACGTCCTGATGGAGTCCGAAACTTTTGATCACATTTCGAGCATTTATAAGGTAGGAAGCCGGTGTGAAGCCGCATGTGAACCTTAAAAATGAAATTGTACAGTCTTCGTCGTATATTTCAATAAAATGAAGACGACTTATAAAAAGCTTATAAACTGCATGGATACACAAAAGCAAAGAGAAGGTGATAAAGGTTCTCTTTAATTACTTGTAAATTTCAAATAAAAAAGACAAAACTCAAATAAAAAAGTTGTCTTGCATTTATATAATCGCCGAACACTGTATGTGGGGATTCGAGAATCCTCATAATTGTATTTGTACCCAAAACAGATATTTGATTGGAAACAATTAGTTTAAAAGAATGAATCCTTATTTTGCATTTTTTTGTGTTTTGCTATTTTTTTAAAGAATGAACAGTAATTTTGTGTTAATTATGTATCTAGACAAATCATTTTACCACTCTACAAATTATTATAATGTTTATTGATAATTAATTTTCATTTCAGTCAAATATACTAAATTAATGAAAAACAACATTTTCAGATATATTTAGATAATTCATGTTAATTTTCTGCAAGTAATAATATCTGGAGATATATAAAAAATCAAAGTCATTTCATATAACAAAAAAATGTAAAAATATTTTTTAATATTTTATTTTTGTATAAAAAAGAAATTTTTGATCATGTGTTTTGTTTGCATTTCCTTCCAAATCCCTTGTTTAACTGTACTGCATATTTTACTGTTTACCTTGAGGCTATGTTTCCCAGCAAACAAAGAACTGCAAATATGACAGGCTAAAGATTTACTCCCAGTATGAATCTTCATATGATTTCTCAGAGTACTTTTCACTGCAAAACTTCTTTCACACTTGTCACAGGGAAACGGTTTTTCACCCGTATGAGTTCTAAGGTTTCCATTTTTGTGAATGAGGAAATTACTATTTATGTTTGTAAATACACTTTTGCTATAATTTCGTTTTCATATTCTATTTTTTTTAGTTGTCACTGTAGTAATAATAAAAAATCCACCGTATTATAAAATTTCTAGAAAACCTTTCTCGATAATTACAAAAATGGTTCCTCAAGTGTCTTGTTAGATCCGACGGTTTCTTAAAACTTCTATCACACTGATTGCATTGATTAGGATGGGGTTCCACAATCGGTTTGGATATAGCTCCAGTGGTTTCACTGTAAACAGCATAAATTAAATAAAATTGCAGAGAATTTGACTCAAATATAAATTATCACAAACAAAGGTGGGTTCAAATCCTTCCATTATCTTATCTATGTGACGTCATAATTTGTTCGATTTTTAAAGGTATTAAATACAAAATTCAGTTTACAAAAAGACTTACGTTTTGTACCCTAAAGTACCAAAAAGTTATAGATATTTAAAAATTTAAGATGGTAAAAAATTCTAAAAAAAAATAAGAACCATATTGATTTTTAAGTCGTCACTTTGTTCCCATGTAAATTTGGATACCCTGTAGTTTAAACCTTGGTAAATTTGGATACCCTGTAGATTAAACCTTAGTAAATTTGGATACCCTGTAGATTAACCCTTGGTAAATTTGGATACCCTGTAGTTATTAAACCTTGGTAAATTTGGATACCCTGTAGATTAAACCTTGGTAAATTTGGATACCCTGTAGATTAAACCTTGGTAAATTTGGATACCCTGTAGATTAACCCTTGGTAAATTTGGATACCCTGTAGTTTAAACCTTGATAAATTATCTTATCTAAAAGCTGAAAACCTAATAAAAACAAGTTAATTTAATAAAAAGAGAAAAGAATAAAAAATTAATGAAAATAATTAATAAATAAACCACAAAAGATGATAAAAAAAACCACCATGAAAGTAAATATTGATGCTGTCACTAAATGTGTAAGTTTACAAACGAAAACCGTACTATTTATTTTATTTGTTTCCTATGCATTAATTTTTCCACAGCACAGTCCAGCAGGACCTTTTCTGATACTGTCTTGGCCATCACCCTCGGGGTCTCAGCCAGGATCCTCGTCTCCTCCTCACTCAGCTTTATATGGGACGCCAACCTTCTCCTGAACTCAGAACTTTTGTATTGTCAATCTCGGGATTAAAAATCTACGGATTAATTTAATCCCTCTACGATATCCCGCGACGGTCATTCCCTGCAGGGATAACTTTAATTGAGGGATCAAATTTAAAAGTGCCCATAATGGATATCGAAATCAAGCTTTCAAGATTAACACTATCAACACAAAAGTTCTGATCATTTATTTGCAGTACATATTTTCTACAATCTACATCATCAGGGCCGGTACCGATCACACTTTTAACCATGGCGTCACCATAATGTAAAGCCATAATATCCTCAAAATGCGTAAAAACACAAATTTTCTCATTGTGTCAGTGTACATTATAATATGAACATCGCAAAGTTTGTAGCTATGACAGCACACTAAACAGGGACCATGAAGCTAATAAATAGGGTAAAATAGTTATACTTCAGTGATAATCAGAAAACTGTAGAATAGGAAGACGACATTATGGCAATACTAAAGTAAGATGTTGTCACTAAACAAATAGCCTTATTAAATCACTAATTAAGTGAAATGGATCTCTTTACACTACACAAATGCTGTGTCTGTGCAATGGACTATTTAAAGTCATATCTTGAGCCTAAAAGTCGACTTTCTATCCCAGAGTTTTCTGGTTATAACTATACGTAGACTAAATTAAACAACTTCTCTTGAATTTAAACAGGCTTCTTAATATACATAGCTAAATTGCTTATCAATATCTAAATTTTGGTACTAGGATGTCACCTCATGATTATGATTAGAGGAGAAAAGAAAAGTTGTCTGGGGTTTCTTTCATAACTTAATTACTAAAACTAATCAAGAATAAGAGTATTAAAAGTCTATATCCCACTGAGAATAGTGAAAAAAAGCAATATAAACAGATTAATTAGGGTTTGTGTTAATTTGTTAGCTTAACTGCTAAATCGTAACATTTTCTTTGAGGCTTTAACTTAAAGTGATTTTGTTCTTACATAACGTGAGAACGCCCTTCCTCTTGCTTTCCTAAGGGGATAGCGGCGTCCCCTAGACATTTAAGAAAAGATAATTTTAAGGTTAAAGTCAGGTGGGATAATCACTAGTTTTTCAGGTTAAATTCAGTGGGGATAATCACTAGATTTTCAGGTTAAAATCAGTGGGGATAATCACTAGATTTTTAGGTTAAATTCAGGAAGGATAATCACTAGATTTTCAGGTTAAATTCAGGAGGGATAATCACTAGATTTTCAGGTTAAATTCAGCGGGGATAATCACTAGATTTTCAGGTTAAATTCAGGAGGGATAATCACTAGATTTTCAGGTTAAATTCAGGGGGGATGACCTAGATTTTCAGGTTAAATTCAGGGGGGATAATCACTAGATTTTCAGGTTAAATTCAGGGGGGATAATCACTAGATTTTCAGGTTAAATTCAGGGGGGATAATCACTAGATTTTCAGGTTAAAT